CACCTGGTGTTCCTGGGTGGTCTCCCATCCAAGTATTAACCAGGTTGGACCCTGCTTAGCTTCCGAGATCAGGCGAGATTGGGCACGTTCAGGGTGGCATGGCTGTAGACTACATTTTTTTTTAACAAATATTATTGAATGAAATACTACAGAGTTAATAAAGTAAGAGAGAAGGCACAGGGCAAACATAAACATACAAAAGGTAAAAAGATGGACTTGGATAGATAACTAGGAAAAGTAACATAAAAATAGTTCTAAGAAGTCGCAAATATTAAAGAGTTCTAGAATTCCTATTTGCTGGAGCGTTAGCCATTATCTTTAAATATTAGAGTGATAGCAGTGTATATAATGTTGTATAGTGCATTTAAGGTATACAAAATAGTAAAAGGCATAGTTTTGACCCACGAAAAATATATTATACGACCTCGTTAAAAAGAATAATACCTACCTTTTTTCTTTTAAAATGTTAATACTTATGAAGAGATAATATATAATATTTAAAAATAACTTATAGGGTATACAAGAACGAGACAGTCAAATTAAGATGCTCACTGAACAAGTAGAACAATATACAAAAGAAATGGAAAAAAATACTTTTATTATTGAAGATTTGAAAAATGAGCTCCAAAGAAACAAAGGTAATTGAATATTTTGTAAGTATATAGTTAGTTTATATACTGCTACATTTTAAAAATATTTTTATTAAAATCACATGTCAATAGATATATTATTGATTTTTCTCTATTTGAATTTTATTTTCAAAAAATTGTTCTGTATACTAACTACTTTATATACGATATTAGTATTTAAATTTGTAAATGATAGGTTTTTTATAATTTTTCTCTGATAAAAATTACATTAAATCTATTACCAGATTGGCTGTATGGAAGAAATGAAATATAGTGGTATAATTTATTATATTTATTAACCCCTCTTTATAATTAACCTAGAATGGAAGAGAATAGAGTTTTGATCAATGTAGCAGCGTTGCCGATAGTTTTCAGAAGTAATTTGACTTGGCAGCATTTGACTTAACCTTACTCAACTTAATGTCTTATCATATTCTTCCTACTCTGGGTTATATGCTCTGAATGTAAGCCTTTAAAAACATCACTGGTTTTATATTTCCACAGCACTACATACTATAGTTATTTGAGAGCACATTAATGCAATCAAGTCATAATGAGTTCATGATGTATTTATTATAATTGCTGAAGATAAAAAATAAGGCACAGAGGGGAAGTAGCAAGTGAATCTATGTGTATGTGTGTAATTGTGAGTGAAATAATAGTGGTGGTAGTTGGCGGTTGGTTGTAATTTAGTTAGGCAAAAGCTTCACTGAGGAGATATTGGAACAAAGACTTAAAGGAGGTAAGGGAGTGAGCCTTGCAGATGTCTCCAAACTATATAGTACTATATAATAGTACTACTCACACAAACTGGGATAGTGCAAAGGCACTGAAACAGGAGTATACCAAGCCTGTGTGAGGAACAACAAAGAGGCCTTTATGCCTGAGCAGAGTGAGAAAATAGGGCAGTCGTAGGCAATGAGATCAAAGAGGCCATATAATGTAGGACCTTACAGTTCAATGTGAGGACTTTGGCTTTAATTTTAAGTGAGAAGGACCACCAAAGAAAGTTTCTGAAGATAGCAGTGATATAATTTGATCTAGGCTATGTCTGCTATAAGAATGTAGGAGTGGTAAGGACAGAAACAAAGACTTGTTAATAAGACTGTTGCAATAATATTAATAATAAAAATAATAACCTCTGGAGAGGTGATGGTAGCTTAGAACAAGGTAATAGCAGTGGAGTTATGAGGTGTAGTTAGTTCTGAAAGTATTTTGAAGGTGATAAAAATGGAATTTGTTTCCAGATATAGGATGTGAGAGAAAGTTTTCAGGACTTTCAGTCTGAACACTGGGGAGGGCTGTGGAAAGATCAGGTTTAGAGATGATCAGCTACTTAGTTAAACAGGACATGTAAAGTTTAAGATGCTTATTAGACATCTGAGTGAAAATGTTAAATAGGCCCTTGTATATAAAAGTCTGAGGTTCAGGAGAATAATCTAGGCTAATGATATAAACTTGGGAACCATGTGCATAAAAATGATAGCTGAAATCAAGAGGCTGGCTGAGATCATCAGGGGAGAAAATATTGGTAAAGAAGAAAAGTCTAAGTACTGAGCCCTGGAATACGTTTACTTTAGAGACTGCGGAGATGAAAACGAACAACCAGAGGAGACTTTAATGGCCAGAGAGATGGGAGGAAAGCCAGGGACATGTAGGGTTCTGAAAACCACACGCGGAATGTCATCAAGGAAGAGAATAAGCAACTATGTTCAGAGCTGTTTTCATTGCTGCTAGGTCAGTAAGAGCACTGAAAATTATTTGACCATTGGATTTAGCAGTGGTCATTTTTGGTTTAAGAGAATGGTTTAATATGAAACAACAAATATAGAGACTTTCAAACATAGAACTGTTTTTATGAAGTAAAGGAGAAAAATAGAGCGATTGCTTGAGGGGGAAGAAGGGTGAAGAAATGTTTTTCTTTTTAAAATGGAAGAATTAATGTTTCTAGATTAAAAGAAAAGATCTATTAAAGAAGAAACAATTGATGAATTGATGAAGCAGGGGAGGGAGAGAACTTCTGGAGCAATATCCTGCGAAGGCAGTGGGATGGTAATCTAGTATTCTAGTGGAGTAGTTGGTCTTAGGAGCACAGAGCATTCATCCACAATAACAGAAAGGAAGGTGGATTACATAGATACAGATGTAGGTGGCTGGATTGATGTCCTGATGGTATGAGCTTGTAGAACTTCTCTGTTGATTGTTTCTGTTTTATCAGTAAACAAAGAAATGAGGTTCTTGGCTGAAAGTGAGGATAGGGGGATATGCATTAGAAGTTTGAGAAGAGAGTAAAAAAAGAAAGTATGAAATGGTCATCTGGAAGAATGAATAGACTAGGGAAATGTACGATAGTTGTGAAACACCAAGGCCCACTTGATATATGTATTTCTATATGTGTGTTTTATGTATGTATTAGAATTATACTTCGACAGTAGTTTAGACTATTTTAAAAAAGAATTGACATTATAGATTTTGCATATTCCAGCCACCAGGAGAAAAAGTGGTGGTTGATCTCTGCTATCAAGTAAGGAAGAGGTCTTATCTAATGAAACTTCAGTTAGTCCATAGTCATTTGACCCCTAAAGTCCACAGAAGGTGTAATGGAATATACTGTTTTGTTTAACTTGTAAACATGACAGCTAATGGTTTTCTCTCTTCATTGGTTAGGATTAGGTTTAGCTATCAGAAACATCTGAAAAATGGGAGCAAAATTATGATAGAAATTTATTTCTCACTTGTACAGTGGCAATTAGGAAGTGACACTTCCTAATTCTAGACCATTGTATAAGGGTGTTGCCTTCATCTGGCTTATCCAAAATGGAGTTTTACTTCCACATCCATAATGCAAACAGCAGGATGAAGGAAGAGGGGGCAAGAAGCAAAGAGCACATCTGGATAGGCAGGTAAATATTGTGGAATAACTCAGCTCTGTCATGTCTCCAGCTAGGCTGTTCTCTCCAGAGAGCAGGGCTTATTTCTTACACACATGTGATCTCCCACACTAGTACAATGCCTATACATAAGTATATGCCTTATAAATCAGTAGATGTTTATTACGGACGAATATAAGAATTATTTGTGTCAAGATATTTTAGAATGATAGGAATACTATATTTTGGTTTAGCAACAATTTTATTATTATAAAATAATATAAGTAGGGATTTTTTTTAGCTAATTTAAGACTAAGTTTAGCAGCAGATGACAAGATAAATGTAATAATGGTTTAAACAGAATAGAAATGCATTTTTCTGTGATAGAAACAAAGTTGAGGCAAAGTTGAGGGTTAGTGTAATAGCTGCACAAATATTAGATAACCTTTATCTTGTTACTTCACCTGTCTCAACAAGTGATTTCGTCTCATGTTCTAAGAAGACTGAGTTCCAGCCTCAATATTGCATAATTCAGCTGGCAAGAGGGAGGAAAGAGAAAAGAGATTCACTTCTCTCTTTTAAAAACATTTCTTGAAATATGCACATGGACATTCTGTTTCTATCCCATTATTCACATGACCACACATAGCTGCAGGAGTATAAGTGAAAATTTAGTGTTTATTTCCAGTGGCCACGTGTCCAGTTAAAAATGCATACTTCTATTGCAGTGGACAAAAGGGTGGTTGAATATTAGGGACAAATAGCTGGCAGTCTATTTTAGTGACATACCAAATTTCCTGCTGTCCATATTGGAACCAGTGATTTAAAAGAATAAGTAGTCAATTCAATTCATTTATGATTTTTATTTTTACCCTATAGGAACATCAACACTTTCTCAGCAGACTCATTATATGAAAATTCAGTCTAAGATTCAAATTTTAGAAGAGAAAACTAAAGAGGCTGAGAGAACAGCTGAACTGGCTGAGGCTGATGCTCGGGAAAAGGATAAAGAACTAGTTGAGACTCTGAAGCGATTAAAAGATTATGAATCGGTATGTATTTTTATCTTACCAATCAAGGACTTTAGAATTATTCTTGCCACTCACAGACGGTTCTGTGCCATTTACTGGGTAAATTTGAAAACATTTCAGAAGTATCTTAATGATAAAGCTTATCCTAATTGATTTATACTAAACTATTCAAGCTTTTGGGTCTCACTTACTTTTTGGCAGGGGAATTGTTTTCAAACTATTCCTGCAGTTAATCAGCTTTGATGAGGCAGCAAGATTAGATTCTTTGTAATCTGTGTCATTGTGACACCACTGGTTAGTTTGATAAAAGTTACATCAGGAACAGTTTTGTTGCTTACATTGCCAATACAGCCTAACTTTGTACTTTTATATTTTTAAATCTGATTACCACTCCGGCAACTAATGACTTATATATTGTAATGGTATCACTGATTCACCCCTTCTATTCCTTTTCTATGTTTTATGAAGTGTTTTATATGTAATATTTTGAATCACTTTGCCATTAGGATGCTGTACCGGGAAATTTTAACTGTTCTATTTTCCATCATTATTACTGGATTTATTTTTTTTAAGCACAATAAAAAATACAGTTTAGTGATGTAAATCTTAGGTACATATGTACCTCCCCTCAGACTTAATAAGAAAATAAATTCATGCATTTGATAATTTATTCAAATAAACCATGTTATATTGAAATTAGATTGGATATTTCTCTAGGGAATATATGGTTTAGAAGAAGCTGTAATTGAAATAAAGAATTGTAAAAACCAAATTAAAATAAGAGATCGAGAGATTGAAGTATTAACAAAGGAAATCAATAAACTTGAGATGAAGATCAATGATTTCCTTGATGAGAATGAGGCACTTAGAGAGCGTATGGGTAAGTCATCTTTTAAGGTATGTAGTTTGCTCAGCCCTAACTATCAAGTAACTTAGTTTTTATTTATTATTATTATTTTTAAAAAGAATGCTTCTTTTAAAAAAATAAACTCTTCTTTACAAATATTTAAAACAAATAAAAAGAGCTGTTCTGATTGAAGCTGGATTGGGATTTGATGGGGTTTGGATGATGGGCCTGGAGCACTACTTTATGCTCAGTAATAATTACTTGGTTAAAAAGTGAAAATCTGCTAATACCACATATTAGAAGTTAACCCTTCAATTTTTTTCAACAAAAGTAAGGTCTGTATGACCCATTTTAGTTTTCAAAATGCTCTTGTTTCAGGTGAATTTCTGAGGACATTCAGAAATACTATTTAAACCTTTTTAAGATTTTAGTATTTTTATAATTTAGACTGCTTAAGTTTTTCTTTGATTATTTTAAGGTTGCTACAGATTCTAAGAAGTGATTGGTCAATATAGCTTGAGAGTTTGTATATTGATTTCAATAAATAGTTCATTAGTGAATATTACTAGTTTGAATGTTATGACAATCTTAATTGTTACTTTAAAATGAAAATAAAGGTCTAAATAATGATTTCATTATACTTAATAAATACCAGTTAATGCTTTCTTAGAATTGAAATGTAACAATCTGTAACAACTAGTTTCTAGAGAAAGGAAAAATCAATATTTTACACAGATTTTTTTTTTATGTGTGAAAAAGTATCTAATTAGGACCCATATTCACACTAAGACCTCAAATTAGACTTCTGATTATTTGACCTGTCAGATCACTGCAACTTAAATCTAGAAGTTCCTAAAGATGATTGAGGTATCCAGATTCACAAATACCAGATTTTTTATATTACAAAATCGTAAAGTTTGATTTATAATTATTTGAGATAATCCTGATATCTGATTTTCAGAGCATAGCTGCCTAAGTAATATGAAGTTAGGAAATGGGCTCACTGGACGTGTCAGACTAGTTATGATAATATTCTTGATACTGATATTAATAATGACTATTGTGTGCCAGGTACTGCACTAAGTATTTTATTTCAGTTATTTTTATTATACCCCTGACAACAAGCCAAAAAAAAAAAAAATACACTGTATTATCCCTATGACTTAGTTAATAGTTGAAAGTTGGAATTAAACCCCTCTGTTTTATTCCAGAGTTTCTATTCTTAATTGTTGTTATAGTACCTCTGTTACAGCCAAACGTGGAAAAGACAGATCCTAATACGTTCTGTCAAGATTTCCATTAATAATTGTTACAGTATTTAAATTTGAGAGATTACAATTCAAACATCAGGAAAATTCTTGCGCAAAATGTACCATTTTTAGTGATACTGACTAAATAAATTATAACCAGTTGTTTGATGATAACCAGTTCCTCTATTAAGTTTTTGTAGTTCATTTGAATGTTGATAAGGTTTTCATCATACTACTTTCTATTTTAGGCCTTGACCCGAAGACAATGATTGATTTAACTGAATTTAGAAATAGCAAAAGTTTAAAACAGCAGCAGTACAGAGCTGAAAACCAGATTCTTTTGAAAGAGGCAAGTGCAGTAGTCAATTGTTTATTTTCCTGGTTGAACTACAGAAAAATACTAATAGTTTGTACTTTATAGATTGAAAGTCTAGAAGAAGAACGACTTGATCTGAAAAAAAAAATTCGCCAAATGGCCCAAGAAAAAGGAAAAAGAATTGCAGCTTCAGGTATAGTCAGTTATTTCAAACCTTGGAAAATGAATTGTCTGGATCTGAAGTTTTCTGTATGTTAGAAATATTATTGCTATATTACTACGATTCTGATACAGGTTTAATAAATGAAAATGAGATGGCCTGATGGACAAAAAGTATGAGTGTCATTGGGTTCAGTCCTAAATCTGAAACCAGTAAAAAAAGAAAAACAATAAAACAAGTGAACAAAAAACAAACTTCCGAATCATAGACTTTTGAAAATTTATAGTAGTTTCTATTAATTTCTATACAACTTCAATAAGGTGTGATTAGTAATAATAAAACTTAGTAATTTTTATGTTAATATATGTTACTGTTAATATTTTCTCTGTCCTTAGCTATGCATTGAAAACTTTCTTTGTACATTATTCTTTACTACGTAATATTTTGTGGAATAAAAATGAAGATTTTTATTTGTTTATTTTACATGAATAAAGATAACACTTGGTTAAGTTTTTAAATAGCTATTAAAGACCATAGGGAAGGAATTTTTTTAACTTGGCGCAAGTCCATAAGTACCTATAAATAATAGTATTTTTTCTGTGTTTATTTGTTTTTGGTTTTTTAGCATTATGGTTTCTACAATGCATCAACAAATCTCTAGAAGGGCAAAACTTTATAAATGTGTTAACCAGTTTGACTCATTATTCTTGTCTATTTTCTTTATATGTGCCTTTTAACTATTTTAGTATAAATTAATACTTTAATATATAGAATGGGCAAGGAATTGTATAGAAGATAAAATTTTTATTAGTTTCTCATATTAATATCTTATTAAAAGTGTTAAATCAGAAGGTTGCATAGTCACCATGTGTCTCAAGGATTTTGGAAATAATTATTCTGCCTTTTGTTTGAATTAAAACTTGATTCTAGTTTTTAAGGATTAAAGTATTGGAATAATAGAATTATTTTTATGTTTCTAATTTGTTATATCTTTTATATGTAGGATTAACTATTGAAGATCTGAACCTAACAGAAAACTTTCTTCAAGAAAATAGAATGGGAGAAAGAAAATTTGATTTCATGAGCCTCAAAAATATAAGTGAGACACAATCAAAGGTAAACAGTATTTGCTATGGCAAAGAGAATAAAGAAAAATGTTATCAGTTCTTCCATTTCTGCCCCATTATCTCATTTTGGACATTGCTTCTTTTTATAGCTGTTAAATAAAAAATGTTTTCTTATTTAAAAAACCTTTTGTTTCAAAGATTGATTAATGAGACATTATTTACTCTGAATACAGATTAGGAGTTCAGATAAAATAGAGCTGCTGCATAGGAGAGCATCATTCAGTATTCCACAGTCATATCAGAAAGTGCCAGAAGAGAATATGACCATAAGATCATTATCAAGAATGTTATCTGAAATTCGACATAGTGTAGAAAGTGAAGTGGATCCTTTTGTCTCTTCAACTAGACATTCTTCATCCATACAAGTAAAAGATAATAATTCACCTCCAGAAACTGTTACAATAAGGGAGATTTTTAAAGCACCATGTCTACAATCTTTAGGAAATCTAGAATCGTTAGTCAGTACCTTTAGTAGGGAGAGTCATGAAGAAATAAACAACTACTTATACTCTACTTCTGACAACTCTGTGAAGAAAGTGTCAAGAAGCTGTCAGGCACTTGAGAAGACTAGTGTCACACAAAAGAGCAATTCATCTTTACAAGCCTTATCAACAGCTTCAGACTTAATGAGAAAGTTATCACTTAGGCAAAAATCTGCAATATTTTGTCAACAAATTCATGATAATAAAGCTGACATGGATAAATCACAAGTAGCAACATGGGAAGATGAGCAGGTTCATACCCAGATAAAATGTGCTGATATCAGTTTGAAAGAAGATAGAAGAAAAAATGAAGTACCCTTACAGACAGAGATTTTGAAAAGTAAACTTGACGTTAATCTTTCAGACTCTGTGCCTATTACCACACAATCAAAATTATCTCAAATAGATCCACTTGAAAATCTTATAGAACAGCTACGGAGAGAACTAGTATGTCTCAGATCTCAGGTGAGCTTTCCTCCAAATTATATTCCTAGGATTGCTTTTTTATTAACTCTTTTTAATTATTTCCCTAACAGAGTTCTATAAGTAATAATTACAATAAGATTTTTTCATGTCTCTGCATTAACATTCATTTATGAACATTCTACATTTAAAAATCAAAAAATGCAATACATTTGATATGAACTCACTGACTTGCCTAATTTATTAAATATTTCTTTAGAATGAAGTCATAGCACAGGATTTATTGATCAAGGAAGCACAGAGTAGAAATGCAGAAATTGAGATTGAACGTCATAGAAGCCAGGCAGAACAGGTAGTGTAAAGGCGGACCATTAAAAGACATGATTGTAGTACTAAAGACAGAAACTTTCATTATACCTGTTTGCTTTTTGCCACGGGTGTTGAGGGAGGGCGAAGGGGGAGGAGGATTACCTTCTGTTGTACATTTTAGATTTTATGATTGCTGCAATGTCTCTATATCTTGTTTTTGGTGTGGTAAACCTCAGTTAATCAACCTTTTTAAAACTTCAAAACTGTAAACTGAAATTTTGTAAAAAAATTAATTTTATTCTGTTTATGTTTTGTTTAGAACGAATTTCTTTCAAGAGAACTAATTGAAAAGGAAAGAGATCTAGAAAGAAGTAGAACAATAATAACTAAATTTCAGAATAAATGTAAGTTACTGTTAACTCTTATTTATCTATATTTATTTATCCTATACTGAAAATCATAGGTTTGAAAGGACTTTAATACATTCTCTGTTTTCTAATCTCCATAATGTGTAGATATTAGTCTCATTCATCCATTTGGTTTGCCTTGCTATATTCATTTTCAGAGGATATTCTTAATCTGAATTTTTTTGTGATAAGTAACTGTTTTTTCTCTTGTTCTCTAATGAAAGTAAACAAGTTTTTAAAACATTTAATGAGTAATTGGGGAGATCGCTTTATAAATTACATAAATGTCTAACCATTGTACTGTATACCTGAAACTAATATAAAATAATGATAAAAAATTGTTTAAAATTTTTAATATAAAGTGAAGGCAAAGTGTGCTTACAATTTATTTCTTTGAGCTATGAGATTTATATGTATATGTATATGATTTCAATAGATACATCATTTAGCTCAACTATGCATGTATTGGATTTGTAGTTGAACTTTTTTTTACATTTATCTGTATTGCATTTTAAAACTGGGTTATTTTTACTACATGTGAAATATTTGTCATCTATATAGAATAGTGTAAATTGTGAAAAAAGATCTATTCATTCAATGAGAAAAATATGTTATTTTAGTAAGAGAATTAGTAGAAGAAAATAAACAACTTGAAGAAGGTATGAAAGAAATATTGCAAGCTATTAAAGAAATGCAGAAAGATCCGGATGTTAAAGGAGGAGAAATATCTCTAATTATTCCTAGTCTTGAAAGACTAGTTAATGTAAGTTATTTTTTCATATTAATGGTTTTATTTTATTGTTTCATCACTTTAAAGATGTCGTTCCATTGTCTACTGGTCTCTATAGTTTCTGTTGAGACATTTGCTGTCATTTGAGTCATTATTCCCTTGTACGTAATATGTATTTTTTCTTAGGCTGCTTTCAAAACTTTTTTTTTGTATTTGATTATTACCACTTTGACTATAATGTGCCTGTGTGTGTGTGTGTGTGTGCGCACACGTGTATATATTTGTATACATGTATATGTATCTTGTTTGGGGTTTGCTGAGCTTCTTGAATCTGTTTACTTACACTAGTCACTGCAGTTGGGGAAGTTTTCCACCATTCATTTCTTCAATTATTTTCTCCTACTCCATTCTCTCTGAGACTCTAGTGAAGGATGTTAGACCATTTTGATACCATCCAAAGGTCTCTGAGACTATTCATTTTTTTCCCCTAATTTTTCAAATTTTTTTCTTCTCCCAATTGTATAATTGCTATTGATTTTTCTTCAAGTTCACTGATAACTTTTCTTTGTTATTTTCATTCTTCTGTTTCAAGGGCCAGCCTGAGACCTGGCAGAGTTTTTACACATACTTTGACACTCCCTTTTATTGAGTTTTTCCTTTCTTTCTAAGATTCCTCTATCATTTTCTTATGCCTTTGGGCTCTATCTTCAGGTTTTCTAGGTCAGATGATGGGGTCACTGCAACTACAGTCGGTCTTCAGAATAAAGCCTTAAAAATGGCAAATTAATTCCTTGCTGGTCCTTTCAAGTTCCAAGTCCCCTCCAAAATCTGCTTGCTTTTATTTCCTAGAACATTTAATTAGTTGTTTTTGTATTTACTTGTTAAATGAGGGAAGGTAGGTCTGTTAGGACCTTATGACATAAATCTACAAGTGTAATAGAATGTAGTAAGAATATTTTAAATACCTAAAGACTAAAGCATTACTACAGGGAATATTTTAGCAATCAAATAATATTCTACTTATATTTACCATATAGGGACTTAAAAACTTTACAGTATTAATGAGTGTTACATAAACTTGAATAAAATATACATTTTAGATTCAGTTTCTTAATATGTCACTTAATCTGAACATATTTAGTATTCATTACTATATTGTTTTCCTAATTTCTGCTTAATTTAAATAGAAAAAATCTTAATATTTATAGAATTGCTTTTTTAATGATAGCTAGTCAATAGTTGAAACACTACATTATTAGCAGAGAGAAGGAGAAGTACTGGTATGTTAAAAAGTTTCGGAGGCAAGAAAATCATTTGACAAAATTTATGAGGCCCGTTTGATTCCCTTTATATGTTACTCATTCTGACTTTGTTTCTCTGGTTGGCAGCTGCTTTGCTTCTGCTACTTTGAATGTCTAAAATGATTCTTGCTTTCTTATGTGAACATCTTTTGTCTATGATGCTACCCACTACCACCAATACCATCTCAGATCGAATTTTATTTTCCAAGGGGAACTCTACTTAGTGATCAAGTACACAGAATGAATAGCACAGGAAATTCTAACGTATTTTACTTGGCAGCCTCTGGCCTCCCCAGGACCACTGCTTCCATGGGTTTTATTTGCTTCTCTTCTGGGTTGTCATTACTTTTTCTGATTGATATGCCCTTTCTCAAATTTACAAATGACCTAATAATGCATCCTCAAGGAAATATTCAGAATCAGTGACACTTTAGATTAGGTAATTCTGGTTATTGCTACATTTTTCAGTGTCCTTAATCACCATTTAATTCAGTCTTATAATACCAAAAAGCCACATAGACAACATGGTGCTATTTTTTAGCAAAACAACTAACTAGACTACCTTGTCCATCAGCGTACTTTCTTATACCTACTTTTGTCTTCCTGGTGTCCCCTTTGAATTAGTATAACTTATTATTCCACGTGGTCTGCTCTTATCTCCTTAGGATAAAGGCTTATTTTTATAAATCTGCTGCCTGGAGTTAAACCCCAGATCACTCTCCTGAGTAGATTACATTTAGTTTCACTCCTCTTACCACTTTGTCTCTACATTCATTTCTGAAGCTTTACTTTGACTTTAAGAGTTTATTCCATATAGTTCTTTTAAAGTCCAAATATATTTACATATATGTATTATGTACATATGTACATGGCTATGTGTATATTTATGCATGCCATTGTTGGAGAAGTAGGCTAGTGAAAGTGCTTTGATAATTTAATATTTGACATTATTTTTGCCTATCCAGCACTCTTGGATAATACTATGTTATCATACTTAGCTTTTGTTATCATGTATGCTTCAACTGTGTGATGTTACAATGAAAAATTCATTTAATTGAATGTAGTAGCTATTTTATTCCTTTTCTCATGCTCTAAATTCAGATACTGTATAGTTTCAAAACATTTACTTATCTCTTTCATTTCGACTGTATAAAAACCTTGTGAAGTGGACAGAGCTAACATTATTTACTCTTCTTTAGAGATAAGGAAACTACGGTATAAAGAAATCTAAATCATTTGCCTAGCTAGTAAGAGATTAGTTAAGATTTGAACTCTAGTCATCTTATTCCTTTTTGGTTATTTTACTAGTCTACCAGTCTACTAAGATTAGCTAAATGTTTGTTAATTGTTATAATGAAGTAATTACTATGCTTGGTAATACCGATGTAAGTTAAACTAGAATTTTATAAATTTAAATTCATTAATAAATAAATTTGGTATGTTTTGTTATTTTGCATGGCAATGGGAATAGTAACATGCTTAAATGTGAATTTTATTTAAAGGTAGATTTTTTCCCTATGATTTAAGTGTTTCTTCACATTTCTTCAATGTAATCTAAAATGCATTAGGCTATAGAATCAAAAAATGCAGAGGGAATCTTTGATGCCAATCTGCATTTGAAAGCCCAAGTTGATCAACTTACTGGACGGAATGAAGAATTAAGACAGGAGCTCAGGGAATCTCGGAAGGAAGCTATAAATTATTCTCAGCAGTTGGCAAAAGCGAATTTAAAGGTGAGAATTTTATTAAATAAAATAAAAGAAAATGCTAAGCATATGAACATAGGTTTAATGTGATACTTTAAATTTTTTTAAATGACTACTTTATGAGGAAATCCCCCTTGAAATAATTCTTTCAATTTTAAGAAAACTCCTGTTTGGATTTTTCTTATAAATTCAGTGTAAAAACTAGTGCCTTATAATATAAAAGAACACAGAAATCCTAAGTGTATACTGGGCATTTCTAAGTAGAAATTATTATGGTTAAATGAATTCTTGGCAAGGCATTCATATATCTACTTTTTAAAAATATCCAGTAGAAGTGTAAGTTACTGCTTTAAACTTGTGTATCTTTGGGTGTAAGAGATGCAATTCACATTTCTGAACTGTTTGTTTCCAGGTAGATCATCTTGAAAAAGAAACCAGTCTTCTACGGCAGTCAGAAGGATCAAATGTTGTTTTTAAAGGAATAGAGTTACCTGACGGCATAGCACCATCTAGTACCAATATCATTAATTCTCTGAATGAATATTTAATACATATCTTACAGGTACTGAAAATTTTGCATGTGAATAAGAAAAATAATTGATAACATCTTTTTAAATTTAGTCCATATATTCCTTTGAATTCTTAGAATATTAACAGTGAGATATACTTCAATGGATTTTAATGTTAGATGGAATGTTACGAATAAAAGCAATTTATTCCATTTATCTGCATGAGGAGCATGTTGACACGTCTTGTTTGCATGAGTATTATTCGTATGAAATATATGACTGACAGAATAATACGCAGCTACTATAAGGTAGTAATGTATAAATGAAGTGAGCACTTTTATTTATTGCTAGTTGGAAAAGCAATTTAAATGAATAAAGCCTAATACAGTGTTTTAGTGTATTGATTGATATTGATCATTTTTTGTATTAACTGCAAGAAAAACTTTTTAAAACACATTCACTTTCTTCCCTTTACCCTATAAAGTGATAGTTAATCTATAAGCAAATTAAAAAGGGTACTGCTTGCTCTGTGTTTCTTTCTCACTTTTGCTATGTCATTGTCATTATGAATGGCCTAATGAGAGTTGCTTTCATTATTTCATTTGAAGTGTGAATACCCATGACATCACGTGCATTACAGTATAATTACAAAAATGTGTTCAAAATAAATGAAAATATGTTTTTGATTATAAACACTTGTTTCTCATTCCAGATAATCTATTTCTGAATAGACTTAAGATAATCAAATTATTGTTTTTATATTTGGGAATCACATTAGTTAATCTTTTTCTGAATACTGGAATTTATGTGTTATCTGAGTCACAAAAGGACAACCTTAACTACTTATTAGAGCATTATTTTATAATTTGTGTTACACATTACTTTTAAATTCATAATTTGAGCATTCTTTATGATTTCTCTCATTCTTCTGCAGTATAGGGACACTGTCAGCAAATAATGGCATTAGGGTATCATCATGTTGCTTGAGATTAGATTTTTTTTTTTATATTTATGTAAAAAACATGATAAGTACTGTAGTAGAATAGAGAACAATGATTGGGCATCTGAAAACTTGTTCAAAGTGGTAAAACAGGTACTTGGACTCTCAACCCTAAGACAGCATAGAGTGAGGGAAGTAGCAAGGCCTTTCGAGTCAGACAGACCTGACCTCCAGTGTTGCATCTGTATATATGTAAAGCATCTGGCATCGAGCTTGGCATATGCGCTTAGAAAATGGTTGCTAATGGTAATGCTAATGAGTTTTAATGTTGAGTAAATTACTTAATCTTTCTAAGTCTCAGTTTCCTTGTCTTTGAAATAAATAATTGGAAAGGATAATTTGAATGAGATGTGTGTATGTATATGTTCACAAAAAGGTATGTGGGGCTGAGTAACTAGAGGTAAGTTTGCAACTACTGTATCTGATCATTTTTGTGGTTACTATCATATGTGATAAAATTAATTAACCTGATTTATAGTAACACACACATTGCCTCATTCTATAGGCCTTAAACTAAGATGTTAAAAATAAACATAGAAATGATCTGTACTGCTTATGATTGTAGGGACTATTCTCCTTTATGTTTTTTTTGATAATCTGTCAGAATATAAATTTCTGTCTTCAAATTTAAAACGTATTCTGATGCATTTTTTATTCTTATTTCTAAACCTATTTTTAGGAACTAGAATATAAAGAAAATAAGTTAAAGAATGTGGAAGATTCTCTTGAAGACTATAACAGAAAATTTGCAGTAATTCGTCATCAACAAAGCTTATTATATAAAGAGTATCTAAGGTATAAGTGTAAGCAAAACATTATAAATATAATGGCAGCATTTTCTTATTAATGATTTAAGTAACTAAAAAGTATTTAGATATTTCGTTTTACCCTTCCTTCTTGCCTGTTCCCCTCCACTTAGTCTGTGTCTCAGTTTACTTATCTATAAACTTCTGTGATAATACTTTTTTCATAAGGTTGTTATGAAACAAGTGAATTATATGAAAATGCTTAGATATGAGCATTTTATAAATGTCATGGCACGTATGAACACTTTGTGTCAGCTGTTAGCATTATTTTTCATCATTGCCATCAAATTATTCATATATTTTCATTGGGAACGAATGTGTTTCTCTTTATCTCTGCCATCCCATTTATATCAACAAAATAATTTCCTTAGTAATAATTAGAATACCTGATGAAAGGTGATTTAAACACTAAGGGTGATTATTACCTGATTTAACAAGAAACCCACAGCTAATTGTAGGTAGGCCATATTTAGGAGTATTATAGTCTCAGTCGTACTGTCTCCTAGTGTGATTATAAAATAGGTACAGGAGTTCAAGGAAGATGGAACCATTTTGCCCATTAAAGAAGAGGGGCATTTTTTTCCCACATAACTTCTTATTTTTGAATAAACAGTTTTTCCAGTGGCCTCTGGCAAACTTTGACTCAGATTTTATTAGCCAGAATTGGGCTAATGAACTGTCCAAGTCCAAACTCTTCAGTGGCAGAGAGAATGACGACACCATAATTGTTTTATGCCAGGCAAATTGCAGATGACTAGAATGCCTCTTGGGTAGGCAACAGTGTCTGACATACCTTCTTTTAGGTCTAATGATTTCTAATTTTGTTTTTATTCTAAATATTTTGCAAGTGTTTACCACTCAAATTTAAGAGTAAAGTCAGAATATTGAGACTTGATGTCCAGAATGAGTTTGGTATATTGATTATTTTTCCAATTGTTTTCTGTTTTTAATAAAATGTTTACAAGATTCAGCTGCAGTTGTTGTATTGTAACAACTATCGAGTGATGATTCATGGAATAATGAAAATGATTTAATAAAATAATTTTTTTACATTGCATTTATTAAATAAAAATATAACTTCCAGGCCAAATCCTTTTTGAATGGAATTTTGACATTCTCATGTTATTAGGTATTGAGTAGTTATGATGGCTCCTGTTTTATGAAAACTTTTAAATTTCTGTAACTTAAAGTTATATCTTTCTGCATTTTAATGTTATTAGGTTTACTCTATTGTCATTTTATTTTTTTAAGTGAAAAGGAGACTTGGAAAATAGAATCTGAAACAATGAAAGTGGAAAAGAGGAAACTTGAGGATCAAATCCAACACGATGCTATAAAAGTAAAAGAATATAATGTAAGTAAAACACTTTTAACATCAATTTACAATATTGTATGAAGTAAGATAGCTAGATTCAACAAGTAATATAAATGTGTCTTTGCACAGAATTTGCTCAGTACTCTTAAGATGGATTCAGATGAAATGAAAAAAACACTTTCAGAAAATAGTAGAAAAATCACAGTCTTGCAAGTGAATGAAAAATCACTCATAAGACAATATACTACTTTAATAGAAATGGAGAGACAACTTAGAAAAGAAAATGAGAAACAGAAGAATGAATTGATATCAATGGAGGCTGAAGTTAGTGAAAAAATAGGACGTTTGCAACGATTTAAGGTAAATCTTTTTTTGTCTGAAAATTTTCAAACGTGAAAAAGAACACTGTAATGAACACCTATCACCTGGATTAATAGTTAACATATATTATATTCTGCCATAATTGCTTCATCTGTTTTTTATAGGAATGTTTAAATTATAGACATTTCTCTCCTAAATATTTTAGTGTGCATCTGTAAAATCAAAACTTTTTTAATAACCACAATAACTTTATTACACCTAACAAAATTGACAATAATTCCTATATTATGTAATATCCAGACCGTATTCACATTTCCTCATTTGTTCCAGGATCTAGTTACAGACTTTGCATTGTATTTAAATGTTATGTCACTAGTCTTTTTAATATAGAATCCCCCATTTTTTTCTTCCCTGAAAAATGTTGATGACTTATGTGATTATTTTTTTGTGTGATTTTACGTGTTCCTGTATCCGTTGTAGTTACCAAAGTTACCTCTGATAATATTCAGGTTAAACATTTTTTGCAAGAATACTTTATATATAATAATTTTTGCTTTAAAAGTAATATTTTATCCCTTCGAGAGTATCTGGTAGTCCCATGTTTCATGATAGATCGCTGTGTTAATGGGGAGATATATCTACTATTAAATGATATTAGTTAACTGTTTGGAGATGTTTTGGTACCATGCAAATAACCAGTTTGTCATTTATCCTAATAGCATTAGCATCCACTGATGATTGTTATTTCCTAACTCAGTTATTTCATTAGGAGTTGCAAAAATTATGATTTTCTACTTATACTCTCTTGTTTAATAATAGGTATTCTTTTGTAAAATAAAGACCTTTCTCTTATTAGCCCAGGTATTTCGTTATCTGGAAGTACAGCTGCTAATAGAAAGATAAAATCTTCATTCTTTCCTTTTAATGATGAGTTTTCAGAATACAGCGTTGGTGTACTCTGCCTCTACTTGGACCCACTTGCACTCTCCCTCACCCCCAACTTCCTCTTCTTTAAGTATCATAACAGACTTACACACATTGAAATAGTCATTGTTTTAACAGTTGGAGTCATTCTTCTTTTGTCTCAACTTTGGCCAGTGGGAACCCTTTAAAGCTGGCTCTTGTGTTCTTTTGACAAGAATCCATTAGTCTTTGAACCAGATTTCAAAGATTGGTTAGTTTTCTGGTACAATAAGATGCCCAAGATTTTCCTTGTATACTCATCCAGACTTGGAATAAGCCATTTCATTAAAAAGCTCTGGTTCTTTTTATTGGAGAAGGCGTTTAGATACCAAAAAACTGGGCACTAGGAGTCATTGCTCTCAGAGTGTCATTGGTGCTAGTTTCTTTCATTTGATAAATTAATAAAATATGTATATATTTAAACCATGAGTTCATATTGTTACTTTCAATTCGAATTTAACATTATAGGGTAAGTAATAGTATGGAGTTTTTAGTAACTTTTGATTTTATGCTTGTATTTCTGTTTTCTTAGATGGAAATCTTTGTTAAAATAACATCAAATCTAACATAAAAATAATTATTGTTTTATCTTATAATGTCCACACATTAATTTGAAAATAGTAATCTGGTATTGATATTAACAGTAACAACAGCAGTGCTGCCAGATATAGTTTAAACTTTTCTTACAGTTCTTATTTTCTTTAGAACGTATCTTACAAAAAATGTATAGTCAAGGTAACATATTCTGCACTAACTTGAAATAATTCCCTTTGTGTGGTTATGATATAAATTTGACATACAGTTAGGCTCATTTGATGTCTTTTCGATTTCAGGGATCATTTTTTTCTTGTTTTTTAATTTGAATTTGAATATAGATACGTTTACATATTCAAAAGATATAGTCAGAGAAATCTTCTGTTCCTATACCTTTCACTCCATTTTGCCCCACTCCCTATAGGTAACTGATTATCCTTCTGCTGTTTCCTTTGGCAAATATTAACAAACACAAAAAGATGTATGCCATGTGTACTCTTCTGTACCTTGCTTTATACCTGATGTTATATAGCTTATTGTAAGCACTGTTTATGTTCAGAAGAATGCAAAGTAAAATTAAAATGAACTTGAGTTCCTTACCATCCCTTTTTAAATATAATAATGGGTGCAATTATTATTCTATTAAACTTATTTTCAATGTGATCTTAAAGCTGAAGCCTGATGCAACCAGAAATCTATTGAAAAATGAAAGCTTTTTTTATTTGGATATATATTAAGGAAATTTTGAGACGTAAGACATATTCTTGTTATTTTTGTGTTAAGTTTTGTAGTATATACTTTTCTAGAGTATTACAAATATAACTAGCGTTTGAGAAGAGGGAAAAAAAAGACCTAGAATTTCCTTCCTCTTCAACTTGATTGTTCAACCTAGGTTTTTTTTCCCCTCAACAATTAGAAAGCCAAAAAGGGGGTGGAGGGCAGGTTATTTTTAAGGATGGGTAGTATAACTTACCCTACCCACCATAAAGGAAAAGTGAAACCAAATCCCAGGGGGTAATGTAGAATAGAATGTGCTTACTTACATGGAGAAGTTGTCAAAACCAGATCTGAAGCACCATTACAAATATTTTTTTCTCATTACTTCAGAATGAATTATAACTATAAATTCTTTGTCTTCCTCACTTAATAAATTTTATTGTTTCTTGCACCACCTCTTTGTCAGTTTACTTTGGAGAGAACTAAAAGTTCAGACATTTATTTTTGGTGTTAATACAGTACCTTTGAATAGTAACTTTTTATAGCTGTGTAGCTAATGAGTAGAACACGAGCCAAGTAACTTAAAGGCTTTGATATTATTATAGATAGCGATGATAGACAGGACTTTTTCTCCCTAAATGTTTCCTTCCTGTGAACAAAACATTTTCTTTTATCATAGTCTTTGTAACTATAATAAGCAGAAATAGCCAAGCTGTAAAGGTTACTTGTGGTAATGCTAATTTTGCTATTTAGGTGTCAAACTACAAGTTATTTTTTAATCTTATGAAATTTTGAAAAGGAAGCCAAAGATACATTCTGTGTGATATATTTTCTTGCTGCTGTGTGTTATGCTTTGCTCATATTAACTGTATTTCATTTTACGATAACGAGTTATAAGAGGACTTTATTGTTATTTTTATTATGATTAAAAATTACCAAATACTGTTATTTCTGATATGAAAGAAATTAATAATTATTGCAATATTTTCCTCACATGAGAAATCTTATTTTTTAAATGATTCTAAAATCTATTTTACTTTAGGTCTTATTATCTTTCTCAAAAGTGGCTAATGCTTCACCGGAAAAAAAAAAATACGTGAACTTAACTCAGTGTATCCTTATTTCACAGGAAATGGCCATTTTCAAGATTGCTGCTCTCCAAAAAGTTATAGATAATAGTGTTTCTCTGTCTGAACTAGAATTGGCCAATAAACAATACAATGAACTGACTGCTAAGTATAGGGACATCTTGCAAAAAGACAATATACTTGTTCAAAGAACAAATAACTTGGAACACCTAGAGGTAAGTGTGATTTTTGAACCTTGTGATATCAGCAATTTTTCTTGGGCGATATCTATATGTGCAGGATAACTTTCAGACAACTTCATCTAGGTCATCCTCCTTAGTCCACTTGAATGGTTTAACTGAATCAAACTTCCTTTTACCAGGCACTTAAAAAAGGAAAATGAGTATGGAACAAATAGGATATTATAGTCAAAAGGAAGCATCATTAAGTACTTATCCCTTTCTTTTCCCTCAGTTCTCAGAATAAATTATTCTCTCATGGTCCCTGGCTTTTCTGTTCCTTGGGATATATGTAGCCAAGAGTGGATGAGGTAGATAGATACTAATGGCTCCTCCTGGACCATGGATGAGCTCTATAAATTCCCATTCTTATGGTAGAGATACAGAAGAGTAAGATGGAGTATCGAAAGTTTCATTCAGTCAGTGACTATGGCCCAGACCCTTTGTAGTTCTCCTAGCCACTTAACCTCCATACCTTTTACAATAGGCAAAACAAGATCCTGGTTTGTTCATCTTCCTCATCAAAAATAGGGCTTTGTGTCATTTGGCTTATTCTCTTTTATGATCCTCTCATGAAGAGGGATACGATTGAATTTTGTTGGCTTAAAAGCCTTTACTTGCTTAGGAGGACACATTCAATAAAACAGGTTATTCTTAGCTTTCAGTGACTCCTACAAAATTATCTGTCATTATTAATATCTACTAGAAGTAATCATGATGAGTTTTTTACTTTTTTTTTCCCAAAGAAGTAATTATGTTGATTTTTATAGAAAATTCTGAATATTTAAGTGTGGTAATAATTTTCTTTTTTCCATTTTTGATATCTTTTGTCCTCTCCTCTCTGTTACTAGAATATCCTAAGTAATAAATCTCCCGTAGATGATATATCAATGAATAGACTTTATTTTCCCAAAGAATATTTGTATTTTTATTATATCCCTTTCTCTCCTTAACTTACCATATCTCATAGTTCTGAACATATATCTATCCCTGTTGGCAATGTCTTCATTTTATTCTTTTTTACCTTTATTGTGTTAGTCATTTCTCAAGTCCCTGTCTCCAGTGTTATGCCTTTCTTACCATCTCTAGCATTTTAAACATAATTTTAAACATAAATCTGACCATGTCACTCCCTTATTTAAAACGTATCAAAAGCTACCAGTCACTTAAAGAATAAATCAAGTTCTTACCCTTCACTTCACAGCATCTCCTGTGATGCTCTAAGGAGTTTCACAATTAATGTTTTAGAAAATGAACTACCTGTTTTCTCCAACACAGTGTTTTTCATTACATATATTCTTTTGTACATGCTTTTTCCTTGTCTAGAAAGCCCTTCTCATCTCCCAGTTTATCTGCTCAGTGAATTTCTGTTCATGTTTTAAAACTTTTTAGATATTATTTTTTTTTCTGAAACATGCTTTTTTATAGAACAAACTCACTCCCTCTGTCTATATTAGTTTTGTATCTAGCTCTGCTATTTATATTGCATCATATTATATGTGTTTATATGTCTACCTCCCTTACTGGAATATATATAGCCTCATGATATCAGGAACTCTGCTTAATTCATTTGTGTGTGTTTAGTACCTTATTAGAGCTAATAAATGTTGATCTCAGAGAGTGATTACTGGTGTAGAGCCATGGTGCAAAGGCCATCATATATGATTACTAGGAAATCATCGATGCCTTTTAAGAGTAAAGTTTCTGAGAATAAGGTGATTAAAATTGAATTTTAGAATATAAAGACTGCGGGTGATAAGGAAAAACAAAAACTAAATGGGTGATAAGGCCATAGAAAAACTGGAAATTTGGTAATAGATGAAAAGAGAAATAGATATGTATTAAAGTAGAATCAAGAGGAAGATCTGTTTTGTTTTACCACTCTTTTTAAATTTAGGGCCTATAGGGAGAGAATGATTGAAGATTAGAGACAAGACTGGAAATAAATGAGGGTGGAATACCAGGGCAGGAGGATGAAAATGGGATCTAGAGCAAAACCAGAGTTTTTCTTTGAAAGAGTCTAGAAATAAAAGAAAGAAAAAAAAAAGAGTAGAAAGATATTTAAAATACACTAAGTCCTCTTTTGCTTTTCTTCTGTGTATTTACAGTATATAGAACTGAGTTAGAATTGTGCATGTTACCAGAAAATCAAGTTTATTTCTTCATCTTGTTTTTCTTTTCATCATAATATCCTCTTAAAAAAAAATCTCACTACTCTGTTTTATTATTCTTCATAACTCTTATTACCTCACATCGTGTTATATATTGGCTTTCTTTCCAATGACTCCACTAAAACAGAAGTTTAAGATGGAATTTGTTTACCGCTGAAGTCTAGTGCTTAGACTACCTAGTACATAGTAGGCATTCTAATTATTAAAAGAAAGGATACATGGGCTTACAATATTGTACTTATGTGCCAACTCCTACATTTACATCTCCACTCTGACTTCTCAGAGCTGTCTCCTACTGTATGGAATTACCTACTTTGCAACTCATGTTTCAAAGAGATCTCAAATTTAACATATCCAAAATGAACTCCTAATGTCTATTTCTCATACTTGTTCCTATTTCAATATATGCTACTATTATCTACTCAGTTAAGGCATATACCTTAGAGTTATTCTCTAGTCACACCTTTCCTCTGTCATTTTTATTTCCCAAATGTAATTAATTCATGTGTCCTCTTTTTCCCATCTTTACTGCTATTAACCATAGTTCAGACCAGCATCATCACTCATCTAGACTTTATAACATCTTCCTAATTTCTGATTTCTCTGTTTATCCCTTTATTCTCCATATTGCATCCAGAACAATTGTTTGAAACTTGCTCCTTAGCATCTTTAAATGATTTCCTATTATTTATTAAGTTTAATTCCAGTTTCTTATTTTAATATACCATGCCTAGCCTGGCATGGCTGTTATCTCACCAACTTTGCCATATACCACTCTTCACTCTTATGTTTACTCACTATGCTCAAATCCTCTAGCACTTCAAACTTTTTCCTACTTTAGAGCATCTGGGTTTACCAGTACATAATTTCTTTCCATAGCTTATTTCTTGTCATGACTGGCTTCTTCTTAAACCTTAGGTTTCAACTTAAATACCACCTCTTCAGTGGTTAATAGCTTCTTTAACCACTCTTACCTAGATATGCCTCCTTTTATTATGACCTGGGCCCATATTCTGTTTTCTTTCTAGATCTTGACATTTTTAATGTTTTATTTGCTTACCTGTTTACTGTCTGCTGTCTTCCATACTCCTGCCATACACACATACCCACAGACAACAAATGGTAAGGCTTGCGAAGGCCAGAATTTTGTCTGTTTCTTTTCACCATGAACATACAGCACCTGTCACTGATGGCATACTGGGGATGCTCAGTAACTTTGTATAAATGAGGGAAGTAAACACTAGTTCGTGAAGGTTATAAAGCTCTAAGCATTCTAGCTTGGTCAAAATAAACATGGCAGAAGCTAATGCTCAGAAGTTTAGGGCCATATATTAGATACTCAAGATTTTGCTTATTTTAGAATAATGTTTTATATACATGTGTGTATATTTATATGTATATCCATATGTGTATCTATATATCTTTTACATGTCAGAGAACTTGATTTTGTAAAAAAAAAACCACTAGCTTATGAGTTTTAGTAGATGCTGCATAAAGTTAAGACAATGTCATTTTTGTGGTATTAGTCTGAATTCTAATGTAGTTTCTCAGTGATGTTTCTGATTATTCAGTGTGAAAATGCATCCCTAAAAGAACAAATGGAGTCTATGAATAAAGAATTGGAAATTACCAAGGAAAAACTTCATACTATTGAACAAGCCTGGGAACAAGAAACTAAATTAGGTAAGTGTTATGACTCCGATAATATAAAATGATTAAGATCTAATAATGAATACTTTTCAATTAAAGTTTCTTTTCTATACCAGATGAATCAAAAATATTTTGATAAAAATGAACTTTCTGCCTAATAGTTTAACGGGCATTTGATGAGTAATATCTTGTACTAATCTATACCAAAATTTGGTTTTGTTATTAAATTAAATTTGTTCCAAATAAAACCATATATGTTAAAAATTTAAGATGAATTTAGATGTTTCGAACCATTTAATAATCAAGACTTGTGGTAATTTTGAAATACCTGTATTTTAATGACGGTTTTATGAGTTCTTTCACTTACGTTACTACTGTTGGAGCAATCAGAGTTCCGGTAACACACCTATAGGTCCTTTTCACTGCTGAAGAAATTAATTTCAACTCAGCGAATATGAGAAATATTCATTTATTAAAAACACAGTATGAGGTATAAGACAGGTCAGTCCTATACCAGCTAGCCACATAGAAATGAGGTTACATACCCCTGGGGTGTGGTTACAGATTATAGCCAGGGAAGATGGAAAGCTGTAACCCTGAGGGAGGGAGAAGTCTGCATTATATTTGGGGGCTGTGATGGGGTGGTTCCAAAGGCATTCCTAGGTGATTGGCAAGTAAAGTCATCTTGACTGACACCTGGCTGCTATATAACTTTGCCTAGTGTGCTCGTGCTCACCCAGAATTCAGTCTGTTATAATTAGATTCATGAACTTCCAGGCATAGTCATGATATTAAGATGATGGTATAACAAGGCTGAAGTTCTGGCAGTATTTTCTGGGCATGCGTTTGTGGCCAGATTAGGCTAGCTAAGACTATGACCCTCTTTTCCTTTGTCTCTGGGAATACAGGAGGGATTCTCTAACCACCAAGAGGGTTCTTTGGATGGTCTCTGGGCTGGGCCCCTATTCTTTTATTCCCCTGTCATTCATGACTGACTAGCTACCTAACAGTTATATTAGGAATACGTCATTTGCTATTTTTTAAATCAAAGATCACCATATAGCATCAAAATTTTTGAAAAGTTATATTACCAATAGGTCCACTACTATATTATCATTTTTATATTACTTTATACGTGTTTACATATTACATATACTTTAAATTATACTAAACATATGTGTTGTATTCATTAAGCAGATATCAAAATATTTCCAATGTTTTATTCATTATACATATAAATATTCCTGCAGTATCTTTCTGTTTGAGCGATTAAACCACTAGCTTTTCTTATTTTTGCTATTGCTTATAGTGCTGCAATAAACATCTTCATATATATTTAACAGAGATATTAATGTCTCAGAGGGTATTAAAATCTCTGTGGCTCCTGCTAGGGTTTTCCATATTAGTTTTTCAAATGGTTATTTTTGTTTCTGACACTTAAATCATTTATCTCACTAACATTGTGCTTTATAATTTTCAAATAAATTTGCTTCTTTGGTTAAGATGTTTTTATGTGTTGGTTTTCTAGACCTTGGATCTCTAATTGTGTTCAAGGTTTCTGTAACTAAATGGAGCTGTGTTATTAATTGGCAACTGAGACATGTAGTTTAGAGGAGTCTAAAATAAGCTACTTTTAGAAATATAATTTTTAATTCATTAAGGATTTAAAGTGAATTGACTTCCATGTAGCTCTTACATGAAAGACAATCTCATTTAAACTAAGATGTAAAAAGGTATTACATCAAATTTTAGTAAATTCTTGGTTAGTAAATTCTCTCTACTTTATCAGAGTTTAACACAAAAAATCAAAGGAGAAAGGGTTTTATGTTCTTTGTATATTTATGTGTAGTGCAGCTGTTTTCTTTAATTCATGGTGTTTACGATTGCCTGAATGAGTTCCATAATGGACTGGTATACTAACATTTTTAGCTTCTTTCAGTAATCTGTTACTATTAGTTATTTTATCACTGCTTGCAGCAGCTATTTTAAAATCGTATATTTAAAGATACATAGAGAACAAAATGAAGTACTTCTAAAACAGACAGACACCAAAACAATGAAGCTACAAAAATAGGCATTATTGCTGTTATAAAAGACTATCTACAAAGAGAATTACTGCTTAATTTCTTAAAATAATTGACTTCTCAGAACATATGATTAATTGATTCTCAAAAGAGAAAACACTTTCCCAAATTTTGTATTTTCCTAGAGCATGTCTATTATGCTCAGCAAAGGTATTAATTTTCTCCTCTAAAAAAATGACTAATTAACTAATGATAATCCTATGTGATGCCTTTTCATGATAGATAGTTTTGTTGTTGTTTACTTTTCATTTAACCATAGAGTTATGTCTAAAGACAAGTGATACAACCCTCTATATATATTTAGGGTATAGTAAGTGATAAAATAATTTAAAATATTTGATAGTAGATATTTACAAAGGCTAAATAATATTCATGGTTAAAGAAAATAGTTGGTGAAATCCTTAAGTCATATGGCTTCATCTTTTACTTTCAACTTGACTCTGTGAGACTTTAAAAATAAATTCATTGTACTTATATTCACAAAATAGTGTTTCACTGAGTTGCTTCTTATATAGTTTAACTCCTTTCAGTTAACAAAATGTTTTATCTACCCTTTATTGATTCTGTACATGTGTCTACATTACATCTTTTACATTATTTCAGTACTCCTATGAGGAATAGTTTTTTATTATTTGCTTGATGAAGAATATAAGTGCCAGAGAGATTAAATGGGATCAGCAGCATGTAGACAGGAAATAACAGAGCTCTGACTGGAATCCGGATCTGTCATAATTCAGAAGGCTCACATGTTACCCATTGAACCATATTGCTTCCTTATATATGCTGTCTAAAATATCTAGGATGTAATTTTGATAAGAACAGCATGAGATTGACTTTCGAATTGTTGCGTATAGGAAATGAATCTAACATGGATAAGACAAAGAAATCAATAACCAACAGTGAGATTGCTTCTATTTCAAAAAAAATCACTATGCTGGAGATGAAGGAATTAAATGAAAGGCAGCGTGCTGAACATTCTCAAAAAATGTATGAACACATCAGGACTTCATTAAAACAAATGGAAGAACGTAATTTTGAATTGGAAACCAAATTTGCTGAGGTTTGATATTATCATTTTTATCATGTAATTAGAAAATAAGGAATTAGTCATGGTAGACATTGTATTATGTAAGATGTTTGTTTATATCTCTGAAGTAACATATTAATATAGTAGTGGTGTTTTATGTAATAGATAAAAATAGAAGATATATTTTAAAATTTGAAATGTTTTTAAAGAAGATATTTCTGTGAATGAGTTCTTATTTCTCACCAGCATTACATTATTAGATTTAATATGCAGAAACAGATTATTTGCTTAATAATAGAATTACCTTCCACTATCATTCATTCATTTAACAAATATTTATTGAGTGCCTACTACCTTCCAGACACTGTGTAGGGGCTGGAGTTATAACAGGAAAAAAAAGTACTGTTAATAGTAATCTTCACTCTCGGGGACTTTATAGCCTAATGGGAGATTTTAGACTTTTTTCACATGGTCAGAATTATTAAAGTGGCTAGCAATAAAAACTTTTTGAAAATATTCAACAGTTTATGATAAAGTAGCACTCTTATAATGTTTGTTTTGTTTACGTTGTTCATTTTAACTGAGTCACTAAATATAAAGATTTTATTAACTTATTTAGATTTATTTATAGATGATATAATTTAATGAAAACGTTTGAGCATATTGCATTCCCAGTAAATTAAGAATATCAGCAATTCAGATATTATTAGATTGTGAGTTGCCTAATATAAATGACTCTTTGTGAGTTAGCAAATAACCAGAATTTACAGAATTTACCCGACTTTTTCTCTCTTTACCCTATTCTTAGTACTTCACACTCAATTTAGTATCTGGACCAATGTAAAATGAAGAAGACTACAACTTGCTAAAAGCTAAAATAAAAGGAAAACAAACATCTTCAAAAACCGATGTATCTGAACATTTTTTGTTACCTTTTCTTAGCTTACCAAAATCAACTTGGAAGCACAGAAGGTAGAACAGATGTTAAGAGATGAATTAGCTAATAGTGTGAGCAAGACAGTGAGTGATGCTGATAGACAACGGATTCTAGAATTAGAGAAGAATGAAATGGAACTAAAAGTTGAAGTGTCAAAGTAAGTGTGTGTAAACTTTCTGGGCATTTGATTAGATGTGTCTAATTTGTCTTTAAGAAACTGAATTACAGTGGTATGAGGGTAATATTTTTAGTGACAATTGATACTGATTTCTTTTTATGTGAACATGGTTAAATAATAACAACGTAGATTTTTAACAGGCATAATTAATAATATTGAAGAGGTAATAACTTCTCAAGATTTACAGATTTTCAGAGTCCAAGAATAGTATTGGAGAAAGTGCTGAATTTGCAGTCAAGACCTTATGAGGTCTAGTTATTCTACATATTAATGGTTTTTTGGTGGGTAGGGCTATTTAATTTATTTAAACTTAAGTTTTTTCACTTTATTAAGGGAATAATAGTATCTCATCTACCTGTTTTATAATGTTGCTATAAAAATATAAAGAAAAATTCAGATTTTGATTCAATTTTGGGTGTCTACTACATATACTGTGCTAAGTATTAAACATATTAACTAATACAATTAAACTTAATAATCCTGAAGTAGCATTGTTATTTTCATTTTATGTATGGAAAAGTTTATTTGCTTAGAACACAAAATATATGTAAGGAGTAAATACTGTGTACGAGGTAGATGCTGTGAACTCATTCTCTTTTGTAATTATATGTTACTTCAGTAGTAAAGTATGAGGATCCCTGAGTTGATCTTTCAGGCACAGATAATTCATTAGTAATAAAGTTTTACGGCCTTCCTATAGCTGTAGCTATTTTTTGGATTCTTGATAGTCCTATGGGGAATATTAGTCATTCTTAGCCATATTTTATTCTTCATCTTACCTCATGGACCTCACCTTTTGAACCAAACTAAGCTGTATTATTAATTTTATTATATTTTAATTAATCAACACCTACATAACCAGTAGAGCTTTTAATCAATTTGAGAAAACCTGATTTATCTGTCATACTGAGCTAAAATTATTCCAGCCCAAAGTAAAATGGATTTTTCTTTACCTGTGTAAACTTATCACAGTAGTCATATAGGAAATTTAATAACTTACCATCAAGCTTCTCCTTTTATTGTAATTGTAGTAAATGTATAATCTTTCTTTTTCATATTTCTGATAACTTGTAAATTAAAATAAAACAATTCAAAATGTACATTAATCCACCTAGGAACCTAGTAATTTTAAATTTCTGTATTCTTAACATACAATTATATCAAGTAAACCTATTTAATACCTTATTCTAGCTATGCCAAACTGTGATAATAAGTATCTTATGAAAAAGGTGGGAGAGAATTCTTTGGCCATGAACATTTGGAAAATGCTATATTTGTACAGTTTGAGATGATTTTTCACTTTAAAATTTCTCAGAATATTTAATATGATACTATGTATTATGAATTTTCAAGGGGTAGGGATGCCGGGAATGTAGTTTTGTTTTGTTTTTACAGAACAGTGTTAACCTCTCAGGGAATTATGTTTCATGAAACAGTTTAAGAAACTTAGCTTTAGTTTTTCATATAAAGAGGAGATGCTGGAAACTAATGGCTTTTCCAAGGATCTAGAAATTTGAAATCCTGATACTGATTTACTTAGAAAATATACCTAATCATTTCTGAAATAACTTATCACTTCCTAGACTGAGAGAGATTTCTGACATTGCCAAAAGGCAAGTTGAAATTTTGAATGCACAACAGCAGTCCAGAGAAAAAGAAGTAGAGTCTATCAGAATGCAACTGTTAGACTATCAGGTATGGACAGTATTGGCTCATCTATATAGATTTTTTCTTTTTCCTAAATTCATATTAGATATTGATGATTTTATAGTTTTAATCAGAATACATCAAATAGAGGTTCCTGTTCTTGTTCATTGTAACCTGATTAGAAAAACTCTTCTATTTGAAATACCATTCGTGATACAGAAAAGTATTTAAATGCCTACAAATGCATCGCACTGGCTGCTGATCAAACTTATGATAGTGAGGAGCAATACTAAGTCTTTCATAACAATATTTTGTCTTGTAGCTTTATATAGCTTTTTACAGAGTCTCGTGTTTTTAGAATTTTTTTTTTAAAAAAAACATTGTCCATATTAGTATTATATCAATATTATTATTTACTTACAGAAGTTAAAAAAATGCAGTAATATTCCAACTGTTACTTAAATCCCAGATTTGGATTTTAAATATGTTTGGTTCTAAGTTTTGTATTTTTTGTTTTGTGTTTTTATAATTCTCCGGTAATTTGTATTAAAGCAAGGTTAGATTTTTGTAGGATCTCATATAGCACACTTTTAAATTTTATTTAGTAAATTGTGATGTTAAATCCATGATCAGTTTCATTGGAAAAATGTGAAACTTACTACAGATATATATTTTTTTTGTATTAGGCACAGTCTGATGAAAAGGCACTAATAGCCAAGTTGCACCAACATCTTGTCTCTCTTCAAATTAGTGAGGCAACTGCTCTTGGTAAGTTGGAGTCAGTTACATCTAAATTGCAGAAGATGGAGGCCTATAATTTGCGCTTAGAACAGAAACTTGATGAAAAAGAACAGGCTCTCTATTATGCCCGTTTGGAGGGGAGAAACAGAGCAAAACATCTGCGCCAAACAATTCAGTCTTTGCGACGCCAGTTTAGTGGAGCATTACCCTTGGCACAACAGGAAAAGTTCTCTAAAACAATGATTCAGTTACAAAATGACAAGCTGAAGATAATGCAAGAAATGAAAAATTCTCAACAAGAACATAGAAATATGGAGAACAAAACGATGGAGATGGAATTAAAGTTAAAGGGGCTAGAAGAGTTAATAAGCACTTTAAAGGATGCCAGAGGAGCCCAAAAGGTAAGACGCTGATTTTTAAGTTCAGTATTTCCAAAAGAGTTAATAATAATTTTAAGTTCTTAATATGTGCCTATATGAAAGATGCTTAATATATGACCAAAATTCCAATTATTTATTAATTTAGACTTTATAAATTGGGAGTTTTGCCTATTTGAATATCTAGTTGTAAAAATAAAATGAGACTCTTCTAAGTAATGGTTTCAGTAAGAATTCTTAGATTGTATAATATTAAAGCATTTTAAATATTAGAAAAGTATGTATATTAATTAAATACTAATTATAATTATTCTTAAATAGTACAGTGATTATCAGTTGACATCTACTCTTCCTAATTATTTGAAATTATTTACAAATAGTAGACCCACATTTATTTTTCAGTATAATTTTCACCCTTGTTAGAAGGTAAAATTAAATGAAAAATAATTATCTTGCAACTAAATTTTATTCTCTAGTCTAGAATTATTTAGGATTTCCATTTTTGAAGGTAAAACCAATGTTTCAGTTACATTCTTAGAGTAAATACCCAATAAACATGAAAATAAATGAATAAATGAAAGTGAATGTTAAGGATATTCACTCAAACATAATTCGAAGAATGTTTAATGTTAAGATACCATATATTTTTAGAAAATTTTATGGAAATTCTAAATAAACTAACCATGTGGCTCAACCAAGGATAATGTTGTGTTATTTTATTATAGAATGTCCATTGATTTGAATTGAAATTATTAGGATCTGTGGAGAAATATGCTATTTACTTATATAGCATTTATATTTGTATATGATTTATAAATCATTAGGTAATCAGTTGGCATGTGAAAATAGAAGAACTCCGTCTTCAAGAACTTAAACTAAATAGAGAATTAGTCAAAGATAAAGAAGAAATAAAATATTTGAATAATATAATTTCTGAATATGAGCATACAATCGGCAGTCTGGAGGAAGAAATTGTGCAGCAGAACAAGGTTTCATTTTATTTTTTCATGTTTTATTGTTAAGATTTTAAACATAAGAACATAATGGTGTATGAGTGACTACACCATTCTCCTAATTGAGTTTAGCTCACATTATTGTGGTATAAAATATTCTATATCTTATTTTATAAACCATCCTGAAAATGCATATTTATGTTGTAATAGTAATCTTAAAAGGAACAACATATGAGCACATTTGTCTCCTCCCCTCATTAGTAAATATACAAGGTCCATGGTGAAGGGAGTTGGCTTTGTTCACTGGTATGTTTGCATTACCCAGAATAGTGCTTGGCACATAGTATATGTCATTAAATATGTTTTGAATGGATAGATGGATGGATATATGAATGCGTAGTATGGGTGGACTGAAATTCTGGCTCCACATTTGCCTGTCTCTGTGATCTTAGGCAAGTTACTTCACCTCTCTAAGTTTGCTTCCTTTTTCCAGAAAATATGAGTTTGCTTCCTTTTTCCAGAAACTATGAATAGTAACTGACCTCAAAGGTTATGAAGATTAAATAAGAAAATGTATATAAAGTTTTCTGTTATTTGCTTGGTGAGTGTCTGTGCGTGTCGGACACAAAGCTGTCTTTTTTCAGTTTCATGAGGAAAGGCAAATGGCCTGGGATCAAAGGGAAGTTGAGCTGGAACGTCAACTAGACATTTTTGACCGTCAGCAAAATGAAATACTAAATGCAGCACAAAAGGTGTGAGTGATTAATCCTGTTTCCTGCTCTGTAACATGGCCTATAATGTTAACTGATAGAATTGTTTTCTAAAATCAGGTGGAATTTTAATTTGTTTTCTTTTTGTGTTTTAAATATGTGGGATTTAACCATCTCTTGCCATATAGTTGCAAAATTTAATATTGTTTTTTTTCAATGCTACAACTGTTTTTTTTTAACGCTATTTTTTAAATAGTTTGAAGAGGTTACAGGATCAATGCCAGACCCTAGTTTGCCCCTTCCAAATCAACTTGAGATTGCTCTAAGAAAAATTAAGGAGAATGTTCGAATAATCCTAGAAACACGGGCAACTTGCAAATCACTAGAAGAGGTAATTAGAAAAATTTGCGTTTTAATTAGTGTATTATTGGGTATGTAGAACTTTCTAAATGACATTTTTAATGAAGATGATGCATGCAATGATGAATCTGTTGGCAATTCCACTCTCCACTGCTACTCTCCCATAATATTTCCAATAAAGGACAACATATATGGCTAATTCAGATTCATTATTTAATCACTACTTGGCATTTTTGGGCATACTGATCAGTAGTAGTGAGCATGAAAGAAAACAAAAAGAACATTTGATTATAGTTTTATGAGCAATATATTGCCTTCTGTATGATCAAGATTTTTCATCCTTATTTTTGTTTTATTTGAAGTCACGTTGTATTCTCTATGAAGGAATTTTAGTTAATTCCTTTTGTCAGTGGTTAAAGAGTTTGAAGGAGCATTAGAAATTACTTCTTAGTTTAATCTAGATCCTAAATTTGATTAATAGGTCATCTATTAATGTTTATTATACAGAAAATGATAAACTGAATATGATTTTTATTTTAATTTACATCCAAATGCATTAATTGTAAATACATGTACAAATAATTTTGCTAGTAAAATTGTATATTTTTAATCAACTGAGGAAACTTAGATTTTCTTTAGTAATTGTAAGATTTGCCATTTATGTGAATTGCCACTGATTACTTCACTTAAAATATCTGCCTTAATCTTATTGAAGAATCGATGTTATTTTCATAAACCACAGATTATATAATAGTCATTCATTGACTTGGGCCACTATAGTTTTAATTTTTGTACTCAGCTGACTTTTATGAATTTCTACTACTATGATAGTCAATGGACTGAAATAAAAGGAAGATTTATTAATTTCCTTTCTAAATCTAGCACCGACGCACATTTCTAGTTCTAAAACTACAAGATCTTTATAAAGTACCTTAAATTTCATTTTTATTATAACAGTGAAGTTTCTAATGTGATAATCTTATAAATAAATAAAATATTTACAGATAACTGTTACATAGAAATGTAATCAATATATTCTTATTAAATATTATTTGGCTATTATAAGTATGATGTGAAAAATAAAGAGAATCTTTTTAACTTATAACTAATCTAGAATTTAGGTGAAACATTTTTAGAAGAAAAAATATGCTTTAATAATGTATTATGATTTGATCATTTCAGAAGCTAAAAGAAAAAGAATCTGCTTTATGGTTAGCAGAGCAAAATATTCTGTCAAGAGACAAAGTAATCAATGAACTGAGGCTTCGATTGCCTGCCACTGCAGAACGAGAAAAGGTTATAGCTGAACTAAGCAGAAAAGAGCTAGAACCACAATCACATCACACATTGAAAATTGCTCAACAAACCATTGCAAACATGCAAGCAAGGTTAAATCAAAAGGAAGAAGTGTTAAAGAAGTATCAACATCTTCTGGAAAAAGCCAGAGAGGTATTTTATTATGTCTTGCTGTTCTATTTATCATGTTTTTTTTAGTCAGTTCAGCTCATTTCTTGCTTTCAAATGATTCTGTTTAGGAATTGCTAACTTTCACGTGGTTGGATTACATGTAAACTGGCAGTTTGTGTATGTGAATCTTTCTCTTGTAGACTCACTAAACCAGGAATAGCTGTCATGGTGAAACCATATGAAATCGAAAAATAGCAGTTGAGTTTATAGGTAAAGATCGAGGCAATACATTGGGATAAAATCTGTCACACTAGTAATCAGATTTGCTAGAATTTGGGGTGGGGGAATCTACATTTAAAAATTTCCTATAAACAAGTTAAAGGTGATAGATATGTATTATTCTGATGTTAAGATTAAATTATGATCTGAGGCTGGACTTAGCAACTTGAACATGTACTAGTGGAAATGCATACTGATGTAAATATATACATGCAGATAGTTTCCTTCTCTGTCTCATAGGGATTTTGGAAGATTAACAATTTTAAAAGATCTTTAGAATGTGAATTTAAATCATAATGTAAGATACAGTTTTGATTTTCCATAAAACAGGAGCAAAGAGAAATTGTTAAGAAACATGAGGAAGACCTTCATATTCTCCATCATAAATTAGAACTGCAGGCTGATAGTTCACTTAATAAATTCAAACAAACAGCTTGGGTAAGATTCTAAGAACTTTGTTGTATTCTTTATAGATTTTTGAGACCATATAATTGAAAATTTAGCTCTCATTTTTTTTTTTTTTGTGGCGAGGGGCGAGGGAGTAGAAGCCATCCTAGATTTTGTTGTCAGAATAATCTAAAAACACAGTTCTAATCATTCTTCTCCCTAGACTTACATCCTTCAGTATCTCACTGCTACCTACAAAATCATATTAATATTCTTTAGCCATGTACTCAAAGCCTTCCATGATCTGACTTTAGTCTTTTTTTTTTCTTCTCCAAATTCTGCTTATTATAAGCTTACCTAAACCTGATTTTCATGTTCTGAATTCAGGTCATACTTGCCTCTTGATATTTGTTTTCTGTATGTATGAAATGATATATCTTTCATCTCCTAATATGCAAACCTTAGTATCCTTGAGCCTTAACTCATTAATTCAGTCTGCATTTGTTGATCCTCCACTACATGTATGTACTTTGCCAGACACTGGAAATACAAACAGTATGATCTCTATCCTTGTTTTGTTTAAGATTTCATTGCCTATTAAATTTTAGATTAGATATTATTTTTCATTATTTGAGGAACCAAATTAAAATTATGGAATAAGTGTGGCATTGAGTTGTACATGTTCATGGCTAATTTATTTATATTTCATAGGATTTAATAAAACAGTCTCCTACTCCAGTTCCTACCAACAAGCATTTTATTCGTCTTGCTGAGATGGAACAGACAGTAGCAGAACAAGATGACTCTCTCTCCTCACTTTTGATCAAACTAAAAAAAGTATCTCAAGATTTAGAGAGACAAAAAGAAATCACTGAATTAAAGATCAAAGAATTTGAACATACCAAATTACGGTAAGTCTTAAAAATGTGTTATAAAAATATGCAAATGTAATAATGGTATGATGAAGATAAACGTAAGCATTTTCTATGTTGTGCATTGTTCTAAAAACTTTATGTACATTATCTTGTTTTATCCTCTGGATGACTTATGACAGGTTATTATTCTCATTTTTCACAGAGGAAACTAGGCCATGGGAAGACTCAGTAATATCCATGGGAGGAGGTGGAAAGTCACAATTTGAATTGAGTCAATCTGACTTAAGTGCCAAACCAGATTCTTGTCCAGAATCTTGTTTTTAACCTTGTTAAGCTTCCATTTCATCATCTGTAAAATGGAAATGACAGTATTTACCCTTGCTCTTTCAGGATAGTTATTTAAAAGCCAAGTTAATACTGTATATGAAAGTAATTTGAAAATTGTAAAGTAAAAAATAAATATAAAACTTTTGTTTATACATCTATAACAGTTTCTGGCATACAATAAAGGTTCAATAAATATTCGTTGAATGAAAAATTAACTTTTTTTATTAACTACAGTGACAGTAGAGAGTTCACAGCATTCATTCTCTGTATTAGAAATTTTAAACATTGTTCAGCTAGTTTATCAGAATATAGATTTTAAACCTAAAATAGGTTTATAGTTATGTATTTTGCAGTCATTGTAGAACTATCTCTTTGCACCTCAATTTCTTATATTAAAAAATGAGAAAATTGAACTACTTGTAATTCTTTTCCAGTTCTGAAGCTCTTATTAGAACCTTTGATTCTTTATTCACTTATCTAAGATAACTGACAAAATTAACACTACTTTTGCTTTATTATGCTGACACTTAGAAATTAGTCTCTAAAAAAGAATCAGCAATAGCATGTGGTTCTTTTTAAATCTAATTTTCTCCACTCATTAAATTTTATACATGTGATGTTATTTTTGATATAGTAAGTCTCTGTCATGTTTTAGAGTATAAAATTGCTTTTGCTTTTAAACCTAATTCCTCGTTGTAGAAAATAATCATCTTTTGAAATATATATATATATATGTATGTATTTTTGCCACATGAAATACTTGAGTAGTTGTTTTGTATTTTGCCATGTCATTTTAGTCTAAAATTATACTTTTATTCTATGTGCGCAGATTGGTATTGTCGATATAAGAACATCCAAAACTGTAGGAAAATTTTGTAAGTTTATTAGAGTTTGAGCCAAACAGAGGATATGCCTGGAAGCAAGATCTCAACAGATAGAAAAATGCTTCCCAGAATGACAGTTTACATCTTCTTTTATGCATTTGGAATTAAGGAGAGGACAGCAGGGAAGATTATATGAAGGTGGTAGAAAGCAAGGCAGGGATTGGATTACAGGCTAATTAACAAGATTATGTGCTCTCTTGAAGGCATCTGAAAGGCCTGTGAACCTAGACCACAAAAACAAGGGACATAGATTACTTAAAGCCAAGATAAACTAAAGAAGTTATAAGCCTGGAGCTGTGATTGTCCATCATGAACTGCTTGGTTAGGAATTTATGATCAGATCACCCTGAGGTTACTTGAGGTTAGATTTATTATAGAGCCTCTTTTTTTGTCCCCAGTATGCATATTTTAATATGTTTTGGCAATACAGATGTGTGTTTTCTTTAGTAAAACCTTAATTATCAGTTTGATGATTAAAGTGACAAGTTTTTTGCTATAAGCATCAAGTCTCAATGTTTTAACTCTTGTTCATAGTTTAATACAATCTTCTCTGTCATAATTTATGATATGAATATCCATATCTATGACCTTATTAATGCAGTATCTAAATATACAGTAAACGGTATAATTTAGAAAATCAGACTTAGAAATGAGTGAAAAAGAGGGATAATTGAATTGACTAAGTCTGCTGATAGTATGTACTTCTCTATAGATACAGATATTAGTTATGGCTTATAATACTAGTGATTTTGGAACCATAAACAAATTAATAATACATGTGATTTCTGTGAAAGTTTACATTTTATCTTTGCAACATGGCAATATAGGACAGTGGTTCTTTTTTTTATTACTTTTTAGGCGAGGCAACCCTTGGGTGACCTCACAGATTGCAAGGACCTTGTCAGTTTACAATCCCTTATTTTTTTATTTTTTACATCTATAGCACCTCGTCTTCTTAGGTGGTCTCCCATCCAAGTACTAACCAGGCCTGACCCTCCTTAGCTTCCAAGATCAGACGGGATCAGGCTTGTTCAAGGTAGCATGGCCTTAGACAGGGCAGTGCTTCTTAACTGAGTTACCAAACCAGGAACATTTGGTAATTTCTGAAGACATTTTTGATTGTCACACCTAGGAGATGCGACTGGCATCAGTGGATAGAAGCAAGGGCTGCTGCTAAAAACATCTTACAATGCACAGGACAACTTTCCCCACCCTCACCCTCACCCCACACACAGAATTCTCCAGTCAAGTCAATAGTGCTATGGTTGAGAAACCCTGATTTAGAGGAAGCAGTCTCATCTTGTAGGACACATAGTATTTAAAGTACTGTTTTGTTCATTTTCTGCATTATTTGTCTAGAGCCACAAAATTACTTAATGCAACTGTTAGCAAAAATAGTAATAGAACTAGAAGGAAAAAGTCTATTTTATGTTAAGTTTAAGAGTAGTTAAGTGGGATAAAGAATTGTACTTTTAGATTTGGATCAAGACTTAGGTTGTAAGAATACTTAACGACCAAACATCTGCTCTTCAGATAACATTTGTGTCAAAATGTTAATTGCAGCAACTACTCTACTAAATACATATGTGTGCTTATATTAGGCTCCAAGAAAACCATGCAGACGAAGTGAAAAAAGTGAAAGCAGAAGTAGAGGATTTAAAGTGTCTTCTGGCCCAGTCACAAAAGGAGTCACAAAGTTTAAAATCTGAACTTCAGGCTCAAAAAGAAGCAAATTCAAGAGCTCCAACAACTACAATGAGAAATCTAGTAGAAAGGTTAAAGAGCCAATTAGCCCTTAAAGAGAAACAACAAAAAGTAAGTAACAACAGAAAATGATCAACATTCAGGAAGTATATGAGGTTGATCGCTTTTAGAGTAGACTTGTAAAAGAAGAGCTGCTGTCTGTTGTAGTGAGTAGTATGAGCCTTATCTTACTCTTAATCAGTCTTTTAAAATAATTTTTAAATAACCTTATTGTTAGTGTTTAGAATTTAGTTAAATTCAAATACAGTCCAATTTATCTTTTTATTTTGTCATCAGTCTGATTTGTGTCTTGACTATAGGACAAAAGGGGAAACCTTAATTATATTATATCCTCTTTTCTACTGAGCTTTTATGCTACTGGGCTGTTTTGAACAATTTGAATAGTGGAACAATTTTGAACAATTTAGGGATTAAGAGGGAGATACGACAGTGAGTAGGAAAGGTTAAAGAAGAAAGTCACAATGATAGTTTTATGAGAAGGAATTGGTCAATAGATTAGACAATTTATTAGGTTTTGAAAATTTGGTATACCTCAGATTTGATATACTCAATTGTTTTAGAAGATGCTGTTGTTTTCTATGCTAGCTCATGAAATGTACTGGCAAATTTTAAGCCTTTTTTAGTCCTGTAATTTTCCTATTCAAATCAATTTCACATGGAAGTATGTACTGAGTAATTTAGGTAAATATCTAAACTTGAGTATTTGAAAACAAAACATACCTGGTGTTTGTAATACAAATTGCCTAATTCGATGCTGGGTTCCCAAAATTATTATCGTCAAGATTTTGAAATCTCATAATTCGGCAAGAATTGAGTTCAGTTACTAAAAGAAATTCATTTGAAAAAGTTGGGTTATTTGTGAATTGTGTTTGATTAAACACATGGTATTCTAGGAAAATAGTTGAAATTTAATAAGGCTTATTTATTTTTTGTATTACATATTACTCATATAAAATATTAATTTTTCAAAAAAAATGTATATATGTTGTAATTTTTAGGCACTTAGTCGAGCACTTTTAGAACTCCGGGCAGAAATGACAGCAGCAGCTGAAGAACGTATTATTTCTGCAACTTCTCAGAAGGAGGCAAATCTCAATGTTCAACAAATTGTTGATCGACATACTAAAGAACTAAAGGTGAAGCATCAACATATTCATTAATATAAGAAAATTTTTGATAATTCCATTGAAAGAGAATCCACTCTTTTGGGGGGGGCGAGGCGGGGGACAATAATGTCTCAATGTTCTACGCTGATTATAACCTTTATTTGCAGAGGATAGGCCATTATAGACTACTCTTCCTAACATAATTAAATTTAAGAAACATTTTACTTATGATTTTTACTTTTTATAGATAAGTGAGATAAGTGTGTAGAATGTTTTTTGTTTAGTTTTCTTTCTTTTGCCATATCAGAATTTTCTATCTAGTCTTTGCTAGTTCATGATCTGAATTAATTACCATTCCCTTTTTACTCCCTGAAATAGTTTATGGAAATTATATAGTCCTTGATATTTAATCTATAGAGCTGCCTGGCTCTGCCTAGCTCTGAAGTCTTTTTTTTTAAGTTATCATATTTTGGCAGTGTATTTTATCATTTTCTTACACGATTGTTAGTGTTGGCAATTTAAACTTTTTTTCCAAAACATATATATTTCATAATGATTTTCAAATTCTGGGTAAAATGAAAAATCTTTTTACCTGTTGTTTTTGTTTGTAATTTTTATTTACTCTTGGTTAATTTGTATATGCCCTTCACTGCCATTTAACTGTATGAGGACTTGATTTTACTCAGATTTTTAATCTCCCATTGTACCTATCAAAATTATGAATATAGTTGATGTTAAAAGTCCATTAAGTAATAAATATATAAACAGGAATAATCTTTTGTTGATGTCTTTTTTAATACTTTTCTGTTTGCCTGAAATTCTCTTCTGAATTCGTCACATTCACGTTCTTTTTCTCAAAGCCTTTTCTGACTTCTCCAGGAAAGTTTGCTTTTCTTCTAATAGCATTATAATGCTAATTTCCTATTAGTGTTATTAGTAATACTTTTGGCCTGTAATAATTTATTCAACAAAATATATATTATGTTGCCAGTATCTCCATCACTGTTACTGTATAGGACAGCTAGGAACTGCTTTCTGTATATACTTTTTTAGGTATACTGTCTAGTATTACAAGTTACCCTTTCATGCCTTGTCTTTACAAAGTAGATTCGAGTCAGAGATTTTTATACTACTCTTATGCTTCACAGAGTTTAAAACATTATTGTATACATTGATATGTACTTGTTTCAGCCATAATGAAACATTTACTTATTTTATAAAATTTTGGTTCTTGGTGTTTGTTCAAGATGAACCTCTTCAGACTGTTTTGTTTTATTTTTTTTCCTCAAAGTAGACTTGGTTCATTGGAAATGAAGATGGAAAATATATGTAGTTTGTCATTTTTTTTTTCTTGTGTACTTAAACATTTGGATTAAAACTTTCTTAAGTTTAATGGTATATTTTCATATTATATTGCTTTTATCATTGATACTTGGTGATGATTTATGAATTAAACGTTTCTTTATCTTATATCAGTCACAAATTGAAGATTTAAATGAAAATCTTTTAAAATTGAAAGAAGCTCTTAAAACAAGTAAAAACAGAGAAAATTCACTAACTGATAATTTGAATGACTTAACCAATGAACTACAAAAGAAACAAAAAGCCTATAATAAAATGCTTAGAGAGAAAGATGGAATCGATCAAGAGAATGATGAACTGAAAAGGCAAATTAAAAGACTAACCAGTGGATTACAGGTAATTTTATATTTAATTGTGGTCTCATGTCTTTGATTTATAGTATATAGATAGCAGTTGATTCCTACTTTTTAATTTTATATAATTTGTTGAAATTAGCTTTCACAACACCTTGATTAATGTAGCTAATTTCTTCAATGATCTCTATTATATTTGTAATTTTAGGGTAGCATATCTTACTAAAATGCAGAAGCAGCTACCATGTTATATATCAGTAGTGTTTCCACTATATTTGGAAAGTATAGTAAGCTGTAAAGTCAGAAAATTTCTGTGAATGGAATATTTGTTGTGTATTTTGTTTGATACATTTTTACTTATAAAATGTTCAAATACATCTTATTTTTCAGGGCAGACCTCTGGTAGATAATAAACAAAGTTTAATTGAAGAACTCCAAAAGAAAATTAAAAAGCTGGAAAGTCAACTAGAAAGAAAGGTGGATGAGGTTGAAATAAAGCCTGTTAAAGAGAAGGTATATGAAGAAACATACTCATATGGACTAAGTTAAATATGTAATCGATGAATAGCTAATATACTATATTAATTTGAGGACCTAATAACTATAAATGATGCTGGGTAAGATACATAAGTCTAAGAGAAGTTTCTGTTCTTTAAGAATTTACTATACTTGTGGAGACACCTGTAATGTAACTCTCTTTTATTATTAAATTTATTGGGATTACAGTGGTTTATAAAATTATGTAGGTTTCAAGAGTCCAATTCAGTAATACATCATCTTTATATTGCATTGTGTGTTCACCACCCTTAAATCTCCTTCTGTCACCCTATATTTGACTCCTCTTTGCCCTTGTCTACCACCATCTTTCCCCTTTTTCCCTCTAGTAACCACTAAACTGTTGTCTGTATCTGTAAGTTTTTCTTTGTTTGTCTTATTCATTTATTGCTTTCAATTTTGTGTTCCACATATGAGTGAAATCATATGGTTCCCAGCCTTTTCTGTCTGACTTATTTCACTTAACATGATAATGTCAGGATCCATCCATGTTGTCACAAATGGCAATATTTCATCTTTTCTTATAGTTGAGTAATAGTCCATTGTATATAAGTACCTCAGCTTCTTTATCCATTTTGATAAAAGGACACCAGTTTCCATGTCTTGGCCACTGTGAATAATGCTACAGTGAACATAAGAGTGCATATATCTTTATGGGTAAATGTTTTCAAATTTTTTGGGTAGATATCCAGAAGAGGGATTGCTGGGTCATATGGTAATTCTATTTCTTAATTTTTTGAGGAACTTCCATACTATTTTCCATAGTGGCTGTACCAATTTACATTCCCACCAGCAATGTGTAAGAGTTCCTTTTTCCCCACAACCTGTCCAACACTTGTTATTAGTTATTTTGTTGATAATAGCCATTCTTACAAATATGAGGTGATATCTCATTGTGGTTTTGATTTTCATTTCCCTTATAGCTAGTGAAGTGGAGCATCTCTTCATAGTCTGTTCGCCATTTTCATGTCTTCTTGGGAGAAGTGTCTGTTTGGGTCCTCTGCCCATTTTTTTTCATGTTTCTCACTGCTTCTTTAATTAGATTGTTTTTTTCTTGTTGAGTTGTATGAGTTCTTTATATATTTTGAATATTAGCCCCTTATAGAGGTGTTGTTTGCAAATATATTCTCTTGGTTGCTTCTTTGTCTTGTTGATGGTTTCTTTTGCTGTACAGAAGCTTTTTAGTTTGATATAGTTTAGTTTGATATATCCCATTCATTTATTTTTGCTTTTACTTCCCTTGCCTTTGAGATCAAATTTAACAAATCTATTCTAAATTCAAAGTCCATGAGTTTAGTACCTATATTTTCTTCTATGCAGTTTATCGTTTCAGGTTTTATATTTAAGTCTTTGATCCATTTTGAGTTAATTTTGGTGTATGGTGACAGATAGCAATCTAGTTTCATTCTTTTGCAGGTGGCTTTCCAGTTTTCCCAGCAGCATTTATTGAAAGGCATTTTTTTCCCTCCATTTTATGTTTTCGGCTTCTTTTTCAAAAATTATTTGCCCATGTATATGTGGGTTCAGTTCTGTCTCATTGGTCTGTGTGTCTGTTTTTCTTCCAATGCCATGATATTTTGATTATTTTTGCTTTGTGTAGTATATTTTGAAAATGCAGTAAATTTGCAAGATACAAAATCAATATACAAAAATCCATTCTGTCCCAATATACTAACAATGACATCATATAGAAAATAGGTAATAGGGTTAAATGTTTTAACAATATATTACAAAAAAATGTTTTCCCTGTGAAAATTCATCAGTGTCAATATGATTTTGGTTAAGATGTTTGCATTAATATACATAGAACCACAGCATACTTGTTGTCAGAAGCTTCATTGGGAAAACTGCAAGATCACAATGTCTTTACTCTTCTAGATTGCTCTCTTTGCTGCCTCTATACTTGGGCAGATGTCTAATCCTTGGATACCGGTTCCTAACCTGACTCCTATCAGAATACATCAATAGCCGTGTAGCTTTGCCTGGACTCCTAACATCCGTGCTTCACTTATTTCTGCTTAAAATAGATAATACTGTTTGCATTGCCAGTTTCTCAAGATTATTTTCATAATGAAATATAATAATATGTCAAAGTCTTTTGTAAGCCATCATTTTGTAAGCCATCAAATCCATACCAGTGTGCAGTATCATTACTAACTAGAAAAAGAGAACACAGAGGGTTCCACTAATATTAAAATCTATATCCAAGAATCTAGTGAGAATATTCTTTCAGATTCCACAGTGCTGAGCACTTCTAATATATGAATGTTTTTATACCCGAAGAATGCTTTTGTATTGAAGTTTCAACACCTTTTTCTCTGTAAACAATGTTTGTAACCTATTTATATAACAAAACCCACCCTCATGCCTTGCAGTTCTATTTTCCTTATGCAGCTTTACTTTTCTCCATAGCACTTATCACTGTGTATCTGACATACTGGAGATTTACTTAGCTGTGTGTTCATCTTTTGGACTGTAAGCTTTGATGGCAGGAACTCTGCCTATGTTATTTACTGTTGTGTCCTCAGCACCTAGAACAGTCCTTGGCACGTGGCAGATGCTGAGTATTTGTTGAATGAATGAAAATTTTAAAATGTAATAACATTATTCTGAAACTGATGCATAAGAGGATATTGGTACAGAAAATATGAAAAGAGAACTTTTCTCCCCATCCTCTCTCCTCCCCCTTTTCTCCCATCTCTCATTGACCCTTAGTGACATTTGTCTTTGTTGTCTTTGTTGCTCTTGTTCATTTTTAAATTACTTCAGCTTTTTTCCCCTGAGTCCTTCAGAGGGTAGTGTCAGGTGGAGTAGGATTGCTTAATCCCTACAGAGCCTTGTATGCTGCAGAATTATTTACTCACATACCTTATTCTTCCAACTGACATCTTCCTGGAGGTACACAAAATTTCTTGTATATATTTCAGAGAAAAAGAAGTTAATGACTATCAAACACTGAAGTTTTTACATGTTTTTAAAGGATATTTGTTAGCTGAACTAAATAAAAAGTAAAAAATTACGTAGTAGAAAAGATAATTTTGATAGGGCAACTTATCTTAGTTGGCATTTGACTTTAAGCTGGGTATTTGACTTTAAATTATGGTTTTTAACCCTTTCAGCCCCAGCATTCTTTTTTATAGTAAATATAATATTTCATAATGTCCCCTTTACTATTCCAAATGAAGGTCATTGTTAATATAAATTAGTACCTACATGCATAATTTCAAAAATGACATTAAAAGTGCCCTAAATGAAATATAAAGGAGAAACATAAAAGGAAAATAATTTAAAAAAATAATACATATGTTTTTCATATTTTAACATATAAATGCACTGGCATGACTACACATATGAAGTAGTCTTGTCCTTACACCTTTAGGTAATGGTAATGTGATTTCAGATCTACAAATACAGGCTGATACAAATGTATTCTATTGGCAGCTCATATGTCACAATGGGATTGCCATTTGTAATTTGATTTCCAAAATGGTAAACAATTGTTAGTACAGTTTTCAGCAAAATGATCTCTATAGACTTTCTTTATATATGGCTGTTGTTTCCTAGAAAATTTAGTATATATAGTAAAACCATTAAAATATTGCTTGGTGGAATGAAGATATAAGTTCTTTGCTCAAATAATTATGAACAGAATTTTTAGCTATATGAATGTCTAGTAGGACATTTGAAAGTTGTTCAGTACATGTATTGTTCTGTACTTTCCTTAGGCACTTTATCTCAATTATAACAAGCCATGACACCTACTTCTGAAAGGCCCTAGTTCTCTCCCCACCTGCCAAACACTTATCACCAGCTAACATAATTTTTCTTTTCTTGTTTTTTGTCTATATTGTGCTCCCTTTCCCTAATCCACTCACCTAGCCAACATAAACTAGACTTCTAATTCCATGAAGACAGAGTTTCCTGTTTGGTTTATTCATTGCTTTTATTCCTAGTGTCACATGGTTAGCACAAAATAAATATCTGTTGATTCAGAGAAGTAATATATACTGATGATTTGAAAGGTCCCTGATGTTAGGAGATTGCTATGGGGTGACAAAATTGGGTTGGTCATTTATACATATAGAGTCTTTGTTAGAAGCTTACTGTAGTCATGAACATCTATATTAAAATCTTAACGTAAAGACTTCCTTAAGGGTATTGGTATTAGTCCAGACTGTTCTCCAGAATTCCATTTGTCAAGTTGTAGAATACAGAATACTTAAACTGAAGGGCATTTTTGCTAATGGCTTGGCATGCCTCAAGATTGTAGAAGTTAGAACCTATTTACTGATCTTCTAGGAAATATTGTTTTACCATTGTTATAGTGAATTGTAATTGATAACTCTTAAAATGGAATTAAAAATAATATTGGTAATTTTCTTCCTCCTTTATTATTATTTACAGAGTGCTAGAGAAGAATTAATTAGGTGGGAAGAAGGTAAAAAATGGCAAAGCAAAATAGAGGGAATTCGAAACAAGTTAAAAGAGAAAGAAGGGGAAGTCTACATTCTCACAAAGCAGTTGAATACTTTGAAGGATCTTTTTGCCAAGTAAGTTTAATATAAACCTAATTAATTATGTGTAAAGTCTTTAATTGACTTAGAAGACATAATTTTGTTATACTTGATAACAAAAAATTTCCTAGTTTCAATTATCATTTATTATCTATGATTCCCTTTTTTTTCTTTCTTGAAAATGTGTTTTAAATATATTTTAACAATTTATAAATGGAGTTTCCTATAATTTTCAAATACGTTAGCTCATAGCAAATATAGAATGATCTAATTTTTTGAATATTGGTCTTGTAATGAGTAAGCTGCAATTTAATAAACTGAACAAGCCAAACAGTGGATGACATAGTTTAATGCTTCTATATTAAATCCCACAGAGCTGATAAAGAGAAACTTACCTTGCAGAAGAAACTAAAAACAACTGGCATGACTGTTAATCAGGTTATGGGAGTGCGAGCTTTGGAGTCAGAAAAAGAGTTGGAAGAATTAAAAATGAGAAATCTTGAGTTAGAAAATGACGTATCATATATGAGGTAAGGTATTATATGAAAATATGCTGTCCATTATAATGAGAGAAAACTGGTTGACCGTAGAAACTGATAAAATAAACGTGTTATTTTAAGCTTGGGTTCATCATGTTTTCATGTGAGTTGAAATAGTCCTCTTTCTTTGTATGCTACATAATTCTGTTGTATTCTTGAACTTTTGAATATTATGTTGTATGACTCTAGATCTTGGTTAAAATCTATGGGAAAATGTAGATATTTTCGTTTTAGCCAGCAGTTGGTCTGGATAGGTTCAGGCCTCGAGTTCCAACCTGTTTTCTGTGGGCTATGATTCCAATATCAGTTTTATTTCAAAGCCTTTATAATACTATTCACATCTGTTCTGTCTTTGTACCTCCCAGCTGACAGTCTGGTATGTGGGCCATTGGTTTTTTCTGTTAATTCAGTTCTCAGAGTCTTTGGTGTTCTGATAAGATCAGATCCATACATTCACAGCTCAAGGGTAAGCTCAGAAGTTCATAAACAAATTTATAGTTGTTTGAGCTCCTCCCTATCTGCAATATCCCTGATACTTTCTATTCCCCTTTTGGTGCTTTGAACCAAATCTAACACTTTAGCTACCCTGTTATACTGTGCACTTCAGCATGTTTGCACACATTTGTATCCAAGCAAACAACAGGAAGGTGGAAAAGGGGTGAGGGGAAGTAGCGAAACTACTTTCACCCTACACTCTTACCAATCACAGCTCTACTAGTTAGAGAAGATGATTCCCCTCTCTGAAAATTTTGCTTCCTTTGGGTTCCCATTGCTGTCTCTGCCACTGCCTATGGGATTGCTTGAGGGTTGGGCTATGGAAAGAACAGAAGAAAAAAATAATGAGGGATATTTGCACCATCTATGCTAGAATTTTCAGGCTTTCCTAGAGCTCCTTCCTAGCAGTCATATTTAATGTTTCAAGTGATGTTGTGTTCAGGCCAGTAAATACTGGAGGAAAAGAAAAGGTAAATTCACCACCTGTTTACTGATACTTCAGATTCTGGTATTTTTGTCCCAGTCTGTAAACTATTTACTTCTCAGAGTCCTCAAGTAGATGCTCCGTGCATTTGGGAGAGACAAGATTGGATGCATTTAGTCCAGTGTACCTGGAACCAGAACCCCCTATGTCATTTCTTTACAGAGCCTTTGAGATTTTCTTGTTTTGCTATCTCTTTCGAAGCTTTGTCTTCTGACATAGTCATGCAAAGCAAAATAAAATCATGTCCTAACAATAGCAATTAAAACTATGTGTAATTTTCTATTTCATTCATTTCTTCGAAGATAAATTAGATTAGTTTTACCTAATTTGTTTCTTCCTCTTCTAAGTGATTACAAATGATCTGTAATAATGTTAATGTTCATCGTCCATATCTGGTACTACTTATTATATTTGGATATGAGGAAACTTACTGTTCTTAAATGTATTATAGTTTGTTTTCCTTTCTATTAATTTTCAAAAATTACCATTAGTGCTTCTTTATTAATGTATGCTGTTGTGGCAATATTAATGTAATATGAACATATGAACCTCAGCTCCTTTAGAGGAACACTCATCAGAGTCTAACTTAAATTCCAACTCCTTTCCTTTAAAGTCAGTTTCTTAAATCTTTCAGAATTTTTCTTGATGGAGATGGAAAAAGATGATTGAAAACTTCTTCTTTCTTTTGACATCTATTTATATATAGTTACTATCTGATCCTAGTGGTGGCTCCTTCCCTCCTTTTTTTTTTTTTCTTAGTCTAAATATATATTCAGAGCAAAACTAAACTCTTTTCTCCTATTCTCCTTTGCAGTTTTCAGAGGGATCAAAATATTTGTCTTGCACCTTCTAATTCTTTCAATGGTTTAATTGCTCTTTTTTTTCCCCCTAATAATGTGAATCTTTGTGGGCTAAAGTATTTGGAAAAGACTTTATAAAAGAGATTGAACCCATATTCTGTCAGTGCAAGTGTAAATTTCTGAATTTTATGAATCAAATCTAGATACTAAAAGGAGGAAGGACATTCCAAGAAAGCAGAACCCTTGCAGAGACATAGAGGCAGGAATAAATCATTTATGAGTAAGAGTGTGTTATTTGCCCTCGTAAAGGAAGACTTCTGGACAATTAGGTTGAACTGTCAGAGGGTCTGGTAGACCACATAGATGAGTGTAGGCTTGAAGTAACAGATTATTATCTGTCACAAGTAAGAGCCTTTTTAAATCTTTGAGCTTCTTGAGAAGCCCATGGATGTTAGTGAAATTATTATATAATGTTTTTAAAAGAATGAGTATTTTACCATTTAATCTCACTTATGTGTGGACTCTAAAAAACAACAAAAACAGAAACAGACTCATGGATACATAGAACCAACTGATGGTTGGTTACCAGATGGGAGGATTTTAGGAGGCTGGGTGAAAAAGGTGAAGGGATTCAGAAGTACAAATTGGTAGCTACAAAATAATCACAGGGATGTAATATACAGCATAGGTACTGTAGTCAATAATATTGTAATAACTATGTGTAGTGCCAGGTGGGTACTAGACTTATTGGGTGGGTCACTTCATAAATTATATAAATGTCTAACCACTAATATAAAATATTATTGAATGTCAACTCTAATTTTAAAAAATGCAAAATAAAGCCATGAAAAAAAAAAGTGGATATTTTAATTCAGCTACCTTATACAATTTCATGTAAATAGATGCATGTTCTTTAAAAATGTTGATGTAGTTCTATAAGTTAAAATACACTTTTTTAACTCATAGTTTAAAGAAGCCCTGCAATGAATCATCCATAGAGAATCTTTTTATGATATAGTTATGGCCTAATTTAATTATTGTAAAGTTTGCAAGTTTTGTAGAATTTAAAGTAAATACAGTGTTAATAAATACATTACATATTTTTTCTTTCTTGTATATTAATATAGTAAAACAGTGAAAAATTGAAGTTTGTGTAGTAAAGAGTCTGTGGTTTTTGTTTATAGGACCCATCAAGCTCTTCCTCGAGATTCTGTTATAGAAGATTTACGTTTACAAAATAGGTACCTCCAAGAAAAACTTCATGCTTTAGAAAAACAATGTTCAAAGGATACATATTCTGGGCCTTCAGTAAGTGTACATCTTTTCATTTTTCTGTTTTAAAGATTAGAAATGAAATAAATTTCTACCTTTATCTGGCCAAAACCTGTAGATTCTTGTCCTTAAAATTAATGCAATAAGTTCAACTTTTATTTTGACTAGGTAGTGATGTATATTATTTTCTTTAATCTTACTTATATAATAACAGTAAACATAAGATTTCTATGCTTTGCATAAAACTTCATTACAAATGATTTCTAGAAATTTTAAATGCAGTTGCCATGAGTTTTGCCCTGGCAAGAAATAAGTAGATAAAATAGGAAAATATGTTATAATATGTTATAGCATTATTTACATCAAATGTGTGCTGTTTCTAGTTTTTCTTTATAGAGTCATTAATGTAAAATTGTGTGTTGTATCTTATTTAAGTCACTTAGTGTGTGTATTTTCGTTATTTTTTTCTTCTTTTCATGTTTTTTCTCTTCTGCTTCAAGCAGAATCTGTTATGTGACACAACTCCGCTTACCAGTGTTAATAAGTACAGGCATAATAGTTTTCACAAAAGGAACACTTTACATAGGAACAAAAGAAAACCCATGACAGTGCTCAGAATTAAAAATGAGAAGGGAATAGTAGCCACTGACAACTTAAATTATCAGGTACCTAGAAATATTCTGCAGTATTACCATAATGAAGAAAAAAACAAAGCAGAAGATACTGTACATCCTACTGAATTAAATATATCTGAGGCAAGACCAAACAGTAAATCAAGTCCATTTAGGCCAACTAATGGTACATTGGCAGATTTTAACTCCAATTTTGAAAATGAACCAGATCTTGAAATTGAGAAAATTAATCAAGACTGTTGTGAAAATTTTCAGGAATGTAAAAACAAGGACAAGAATGAGCTAGGCAAGGATGAGAAAGAAAAGGGACACATAGCTGAAGATGTAAGTCACAACGGCCACGTGGATCCAGAAGAATCCTCTGGGGAGAACCATGATTATGGCACAGTTGCTGCTGCAGTGAATCAGTTTGCTAAGGAGGCTGCGCAGGCAAACTCTGAAACTGATGCACCAGTCCAGCCAAGAAATGACGTGTCACAGGTTTGAGTACATGGCAGTCTTTTATTTCTTTGTTAGCTGAGTTTTCTTATAGCAAGTAGTATGTGTATGTAGTGCAAATGGGAAAAAATTGTGTAGGATTTGTAAGAAATATTTACTGTTAATAAACTTATCCTTAAACTCTAACATTTGACTAGTACTTACAAAATTAGTGGTTATACATTTCTAAATTCATTTTAGTACTCTGTTTTACTACTGATGCTCACTTAATATGATTAGATAACAAAATAACAAAAATTAGAAGTGTTTGCAATTATATTTTGTATATATATGATGAAAATATTCATCTTCTCCAAAAGCTTGTAAATTGATGAGTATCTTAAATTTGTTGTGTTTTCTGTTCTAATCTTCATTCAACATTTAATGTGTATCATATACAAGGACATAATATGAGAAAAATTGTTTCTAGTTGGAAAAGAGATGAATTCTGTTTTTAGTATACTAAATTTCAGGTGTTTGTGTTCATACCTTATGTATAAGACATAGAGTTCTAAAGAGTTTGAGAAGGTAGGCTAGAGATTGGAAGTTTACCAACTGGAGAATGAAGGCTAGGATTTGATCAGTTTGTGTATCTGGTAAACAAGCAGTCTAAGATGTAAATGTATCTACAATGAAAGATATAAATACAATGAAATGTTCTGCTCTTTTGGTATTAGTGTTGTGTTTGATGCATCAGAGTTGTAAAGAAGGATGAAAACTAAGATCTTGGGTTGAACCAGGGAAGGGGTCTTTGGAGATGTGAGATTAGGTAAAGTATTGCCGAGTAAAGTTAGATTGGAGGAGAATTAAGATGAGTTGATAAAGAAGTAGAACACTGTAGTTAAAAAATTCTGCTGGGGATAGGAAAGCAAGAAGAATAAAATAAATTGTAGAATTAAATGGTGGTTTTTCCAGTTATAGAATGTGTGTATATATGTCGGCAAACCACTTATAATGGAAAATGAACCTTAAGAAGAATGAAAAACCCTGAAACTCAAAAAAACTAATTTTCATCATATAAATTTCACATATAGAATAATGTTAGGAGTATCTCTGGAGGAGTTAAAATCCTTTGATTAAATCATTCCACTAATCTTTGAATTTTTAATGTATGCTTAGGGTGTTTAAAGTTTTAGAAATGCATAAAAATATATTGTTAAAAACTGAATAAGTTCATAGAAAATATAGTTACAATATTTTTGCTGATAAAATATAGGTATAATTAGAATATTTCATATGTAGATTTTAACATGATGTGATGAGAGGGAACTTTAAGCACATTTATCATATAACTGACTTCAAAAGAATCAGGAAAAAAATCAGGGATGGCAAATTATAAGAGTATGATGCTTACATTGAAACTCGGACTGCTCCAAAGTTATAATTTAAAAATGGTATGCATCTATGGAAAAGAAAACTCTAATAAAATGAAACAAAATGTTGACTGTAAAATGTTTGAAAATATCTAATAGACCAAATACTATAGGTATGATTGTAATCATTATGATTGTCAGAGATACTGGACCCATGGTCCTCTGAATATATAATATAAAGTAATATTAGAGAATATTCATTGGGTATTGTATCAGCTACTATGTAATGCTTTACATATGTTAAAATTAAATGGCACTTTCAAAATGTAAAATAATACACATTTCAGGTACTTAATTAGTAGAAAATGAAAAGATATATATTTTTCCTACTTATAGACAGTGGTCAAACTTTTAAAATCAGTCTTAAAAAAATGGGTCCTATTCATGCTTTCAAATATTCCAAGTTGACATCACAACAACCTTTATCCTAAATGATAAACTTTTTATGTACAGAGTGGTATCAATAAAATGGTGTTTGTTTACAAAAAAAAATTAGAGATGTTTGTTCACCTTAGAAATTTCTAATGCAGCATGCTGTAAAATCTCACTACAAGTAAAATTTCACTGTGGTAAATATCAATAAAAATTTGTTAAACGATGCTGTGTGAGATTCTAGTGTACAAGTTCCTTCACTGGTCTTTTTGCCATGTATTATAATAGGTGCTTTTTTCTGAAGAGAAAAGGGAGCTTACATGTATTGCCATCTGTGTTTTATTAGACGCTGTGCCTACATTTAATTTTCACAATACTTTGCAGAATATCATTCGTATTTTACATGAGAAGCTTGGAGAATAAGTAACATCTCTAGTGATCAGGGAGATGGAGAACAGGATTTAAATGCTGGTCTAACTCTACAGTTTATGAATTTACTATGTACATACTACTTTTGGTCAGTTTACATTATGGTACAAAATAAGACATTTGCTCCCAATTGAAATCAAATAGAATTTACCTTTTTTCTTTTTTCTTTCCACCTGAGATACTCCAGTCACCTAAGTCTTCAAAACATCAACTAAAATTGAACATTTAAATGTTAAAAGAAAATGAATGAAAGTAACTTAATTCTTATTTCATCCCATTTTCCAGGTTTATAATGCTTCTTTTTCCCACTAGATAATAAGTAATTGAGAATTCGAGGCTTCTCACTTTATAGAAAAAAGTAGTCAAGCACAGATTTCTCTTTCACATAATCTGTAATTTAGAATGAGAAGTAAAATCGAACATAAAATAACCCAAGATGGATTCTTGCCAAGAGAAATACAAATATAATGTTACTGTATTTCAGAGGAGTTACTGATTATTTTAGCTCAAAGAATGAGGAAAAACTTTTTGAAGGAGGAAAGAATTGAGGCACTTCTTTTTGTAGGCTTGTGTGTGTTAGCTTGCTATGGCTGCCATAACAGAGCATCATAGATTTGATGGCTGAAAACAAATTTATTCTCACATTTCTAGAAGCTAGAAGTTCAAAATCAAGGTATCAGCAGGGTCAATTCCTTCTTTAGGCTGTGAGAGAAGTATCTGTTCCAGGCCTCTCTTGTCATCTTGTACATAACCCTCTTCTTCCTGTGTATTCATATTGTCTCCCTTTGTTACATGTCTCTGCATCCAAATTTCCCTTTTGTTTAAGTCATTGGATTAGGGTGCACCCTATTTTTTTAACTTGATTATCTCTGAAAAGACCCTATCTCTAAATAAGGTCATTCTGAGGTAGTGAGAGTTAGGATCCCACCATATGAATTTGGGAGTGGGGTTGGGGGTGAAGCATAATACAATCCATAACAGATAACAATTATACTTTATTTTTAGATTAAAAAAAAAAAACAAATTACATTTGTCATTATGAGAGTATATATGGAGGCCATTATATGTGTGGGCATTATTGTTATAATAGACTTTGCTTTCTATATTAGTTAAAATACTACATTACTTTTTCGACTGCAAGTTTTATATTCCAACTTATTTATTTTTGGTTGTTTTCTCTAGAGCTCTCCAATTTTCTCATATTTCTTTGAGGAAAATTATTCCATTTTAGCATAGTGTTTTCTTATTCAGTATGTCTTCTGCAGCTTTTATTTATTAAACCTTAAAAATATTCCTAACTTCATTTTCCTGAAGACTTCAGAAATAGAATCTGATGATCATTGGCAAAGAGAACAGGAGCTTCAGAAGGAAAACTTGAAGTTGTCATCTGAAAATATTGAACTAAAATTTCAGCTTGAACAAGCAAATAAAGATTTGCCAAGATTGAAGGTAAATTTAACGTTCTTTATTATAGTTAGGAAATCTAATGCCTGAAAATCTTTTTCTCCTTGCTTAATTGTTATGCTTACCATATTAGTTTATGAAGAAGTCAAAAACTCATATTTATAAAGTACCATGGTAGTGCTATACTTTCTATATTTTTTCATTTAACAATTATTTGTTAAGGCCTGCTTGTGTCAAGCACTCTTCTAGGTGCTGGGAAACAGCAATGAAATAAATTCTTGCACTCATAGAACTTACATTCTAATGGAGAATGCTGATAAACAAGTCAAATATAGTATGCTAAGTGCCATGGAGAAAAAGCATGATTGGCATGAAGGGGCTGTGTGTGTGTCATGTGGGGTTATGGGAACTAATGTTTAAAATAAGGTAATAAGGGGAAAGGTTTCTTAATATCATGACATTTTAGCATCTCTAGGAGACAGGGATGGAAGCAGGTCATGCAAATACCAGAGTTCCAGACAACAGACATAATCAAATGCAAATGCCCTGAGGCAGAGGATGGTTAGTATATTTCACTAACAATTGTCACACCTTAAAATATTAGGCTATCTCTTAAAAAATTAAATCTTTAAATTAAAACTATATTAGGATAATTGTCTCTTTTAGAAATTTTACTTTGACATTTATAAAGAGTTTATCTTTAGTTTTCCAAAACTTATCCTATTTATGAGAATCTTTTTTTTCTCTTGGCTGGCTAATTGTTTCAGTTCTGTTTTCCAACCTAGAATATTAGCAATCTGTTAATTCAGTGGTAATCGTATAATTATTTTCCACTTTTCATTCTGAGTTTTGCACTGCTAGAACCAGTGTGTGAAGTTCACTTTGTTTCTCCATACCATATGGGTCAGGATCAACATATGTAATTTATGGTACGGTTAAAATCAGAGTCTTAAACTCAAATTTATATTATATATTAAGGCAACAGTGTGGAAAACATGTCTTGAAAATCATATACAAAATATTCTTGTATTTATATACTTTAAGTCAACATTTGTCTTTGTTCATAATCCTCGTTGTTGCTCTGCAGACTCATTGGTCAGTTTGGCTAATTGAAGAGATTGCAGGTTCAGGTGAATTGTTTCTTTCTTTTCAAATGGCTATAACTATGTTAAATTGTTAACATATTTGCTTTAATTTTATAGAATCAAGTTAGAGATTTGAAGGAAATGTGTGAATTTCTTAAGAAAGGAAAAACAGAAGTTGAGAGGAAACTTGGCCATGTTAGAGGGGTATGTGAGAATATGCCATATATTTATTTTGGTTTCAGAACTGATAAGCTAGAAAAGAAAAATAAGTTTAGATACATCATAACAGTAGTGATATGCTTTTACTAGTGTCTACAGTTTCAGTTTTTATTCTGCTACATCTACAATGTAAAACATTTAAGCTTTTCTCTGTTTCAAGTTAATGTATTTTATCATCTGTCATACCTTATATGCATTTTATTTCACTTGGGCTCCACATTATCTTTTTTTGTTGCATGTCTCTCTACACATTGAAAACATTTAACTTTCAGGAATCTGCCTTCTGTTCATTGAGGTAACTACTAAGTGCTTCTTGGTCCAGTTCTAACATTTTGTAACTGTATGTATGATGTCCATGGCAACTCTGTAAATAGGTTTCTCTTTATATAGATATATATATATATTTTTTTTAAAAAAATATATATTTTTTCTTTTATTTTTCGTTCCATGTTATTTTGTATTCACTTTTTTCAATGAATAAATGTTGCTTATGAGGTCAAGACTAGTAATTTAAGCCCCTGTTGATCTCATGTTAAGTGGCACAAGTGGAAGTAATCATAATGACAAAAACTTTTTCAAGTAATAACATTAAATATATCTTATTTTTACCAAAAAAAAATATTGAGTGTTACCAGAAAAGTATTTAGGACATACATCTTATTGATAGTCAGCAACATTCATTTCATAAATAATCTATTTGTTAATTTACCTTTTTTATCTAAGTTTATTATGAAAGCATACAGCATTAAAATTAGGTAAAAGTTTATATTTTGGGGTTATTCATTGCACAGTATGAATACTGACTAAAATGTCAAAAACAAGGTTATTTGACTTCACTTTTGAAAAACTTTATATTTTAAATTATAAACAAACTTATTAATTGGTGACCCATCTCTTTTGATAACTTTATACCAGGTTTTTTATTTTAGAAGTCTCTTCTATTTATATTGGACAGAAACTTAATTTCTAATCAATGACTATTAAAGAAAATTACCTCTATTATGTTGCAATTCAAATTCAATAACTCATGATCTCTTTAAAGACACAATTTTTCTTTCGTGATTTTATTTCATATAAAGAAAACTCTGGTATACTGGAATGAGCATTAGTTAGCTAAAGAGAATATTTAGGTTCTTGGGTTTATTCATTTGCAACAGACATCAAAGCTAGAATACCTGATCTGTTACTTAGTAGCTTCATGACTTCAGGAATATCAAATTCTTTGAGTCTTGATATTCTAGTATATAAAGTGAGAATTATACTTCCTAAATCATAGGGTCATTATAATGATGGCTTGAAGTAATATAAGCTTTGGTTTCAAGTGTTAGGAATCAAAAATATGAGTATAATAATGAGCCTGCTATATTGTTGGTACTTTATATTATACGCTCTAAAATATTTGATTAAATAAAAAGTTAATATATTCTTTTGTAGTCTGGTAGAAGTGGAAAGACAATCCCGGAACTAGAAAAAACCATTGGTTTAATGAAAAAAGTAGTCGAGAAAGTTCAAAGGGAGAATGAACAGTTGAAAAAAGCATCAGGAATACTGACCAGTGAGAAAATGGCTAATATTGAGCTGGAAAATGAAAAATTGAAGGTAATATTTTAAATGTGATCCTTTGTATGTACTATTTTACTTTATAATTTTTATTTTTTAGGAAAATTTTAAATATACTCAAACTATATAAAATAGCTTTAATGGATGAGTCAATTATTTTACACTTATTGGACGCTAAGAGTAGTTAGAGTTGCTCGACTTGGTCATATTATTATTTCTTGACCAATGGTTCTTACTCTGGCAGCATAAAATAATTACCTGTATCTGCTTTTTTAAATATAGGTTCCTAAGTCCCCAGTCCTGAGATTAATTAGATTCCTCTGGAGTGGGTCCTACCATAGGTATTGGTATTAATTATTTATTTTTCAGTCATTAGATCATTCTAATGTGTAGCCAGGGTTGGAAACCTCTGCTGTAGATGACCACTATTAGACAGAAGACTTTAATTCTACTTATATCAAATATGATTTTTACAACTACTTTGAATTAAGTTTTATAAGTTTACAACATCATCTTTTATTTCATTGTTTT